GACACCGACAGTGGTAGTTGACCCACCATCAGGATCGGCACTGGCTGATGCACCGACTCCCACACATGCGCCTACATCGACATTGCCACCAACAACGACATTTCCATCTGTACTTGAGCATACAATGACATTTGCAGCGGTACATGCATCTATCCCTGCACCCGGACTGACATATGCACCGGCAGCGACAGCGATATGTACACAGACACTGACACCAACATGTACACGGACACATGTACCCACACCGACACCGACCCCGACCCTAGCATTTATCCTGGCTACAACACTGGCACCGACATCTACAGTTGAGCATACACCGACACCTGCACTAGCATCAGCATCTACCCTGACACCGACTGTAGTTGCTTCGAGACCTACCTCATCTGGACAACCGCCCGTATTAGATCAATTGTTACATGAGGAGGGAGTGACACAGGAGCCTAAAGTTGTAGGTGTAGGTCTTGTACGAATCGGGCCGCGAGTTAGAGGTGGACGACAAGGTCGGGGATGAGGGCGAGGGAAAGGGCGTGCACAACATGCACAACATCACGATGATGTAGGTGTGTCACAGGTGATACAGGTTGTACCCTAGGATGATGAGCAGGAGGTTCGCAAACAGCTGAAGCGACATAGGCGACCACCTGCGTGTGGGATATGATGTTCATGTATTTCTTGACTTTTTTTTTCTACATTGTACAAATATTATTTTTTGTACATAGATTGTCAATTACACAATCATGTTTTGTTATAGTTTTCTTCAAGTAAATAGCATTCAATACTCTAAAGACATGTTTGTTGAATACAATAACATAAATTATTGAAATTTAGATGGACATTACAAACTGGAGTAGTACACCATATTTCATAGAAACAAAATATAGAAACATAATAGATAAACATATTACAAACACAAGTACGGCGACGAAAGTGTAAATATTACAACACAAGATTTCATGACACTTCTTCATGTGTCTTCATCTTCATCAGACAGGTAATGATCATAAATACATCCATCTTCTTGCATTGCTTCTTGCATCCTCCCTTCTGCAGCACGATCGCTTGTAATACGACGCAGATTGTACCGATTACAATGGATTGTCATTCGATTATTCTCAACTCGAATGTAAAATAATGCTCGCTCTAATTCTTGAGGAGTGTTAATAGGTATACCAAGGGCAACCTGTTGAGGCCTTCTTATGTTGCAAGAACATAAATCTAAACTTAGATTTTCTCTTTTCGTCAAGTGATATTGTCATTCCGCCATTATTGTGTTCGTAGCTATTACTAAATAGCGTAACTGAGGATTCGTTGGGTAAAAGAACTCATCCTCTAAAGCCCAATGATAGCCCAGAGTTTCAAACAGGGTTCTCGAACTAAAATTCATTGTTAGAAATGAATTATGTACGTTGAACATTTTACATGAGTTCATACTTATAGGCAATTTATTTATGTTCTTATGCGAATGATATTACAACATTATATAGTCATAATCATGGACTACGCAATAATATGTAGTCACAATCACATAGACTGACATTTAACTAGTGTTTAGTCACAGTAACTTAGAGTGTTGTCACAACGACTATGAATGATACAATTGTCAGTTATTTTAACTTTTTATATTCAGCAGCACTAATGTGTAGTCACATTCCACATCCTATGACTACACAGTAGTTACTAGCCACCAACCCTAATACTGTTAAACGTATCACGGGTTGTGAATCACTATAACGCAAGATGAATTAGAGTCTATTAAAAATCAATGGACTACATTTCTCAGTGTGTTCTCACAGTCACTTTCGTACCATTGTCTGTTTCTGCTGACATATAATATTGTGTAGTCACGCGTACTGCACAAGTATCTTTTTACTATTTGACCATCAACTCAAACATAAAAGTGACTAAACACTACTGCACTGCTGCTAACAAATTACTTGTGTAGTCACATAGACTGACATTTAACCAGTGTTTAGTCACAATAACCTAGCGTATTGTCACAACGACTATTAATGATGCAATTGTCAGTCATTGTAACTTTTTTATATTCAGCAGCACTAATGTGGTGTCACATTCCACATCCTGTGACTACACAATAGTTACTAGCCACCAATCTTAATACTGTTAAACGTATCACGGGTCGTGAATCACTATGACCTAAGATAAATTAGGATCTATTAAAAATCAATGGACTGCATTTCTCAGTGTGTTGTCAATGTCACTTTTGTACCTTTGTCTGTTTCTGTTGACATATAATACTGTGTAGTCACGCGTACTGCACAAGTATAAAACCATAATATATGGTGGGTCATATAACATGTATTGCACATTATGTCTACTTCAAGAGCATGAGCAGGTAATACCACCCGTAGACATGAACCAATATGATTATTACAAGAGCGAGATGATGATTACAAGAGTGAGAGATTTTTCGATTCAAAGGAGTATTATGTCGAACTCCGTCGAGAGTGAACTTTTCGTGCTAATGAATCACAATCATTATACACAGATCTAAGAGAATTTGGTATACCGGTGCCACGTAGACTTTCACTTATCATGCTCCAAAGGAATAGAGTCAACTATGAAGCAGCAGTTAGACGTGTATGAAAGGAGAATAATAGGATGATGTTGCGTAAGTGCCGATATTATATGCTCCAAATAGCATCTGACATGGTGGCAACTGCATTTGGCAGGAAGATAATAACTATTGAACGATATAATGTATTGTCTAATGAACAATACTTATCAGATGAGTATATGTTTGATGAAAATTAACAAATATAATTTGTGTCCATCTTATTAAGCATATGATTTTCATGTCTACGTCCTATTTTCTTTAATTAATATTGTTACTTTATCAGTTTATTTAGTGTGTTGTTATATCTCAACTTTTTCATTGTCACATCCTATCATTGTCAAATCAGTTCTCAACTTTGTAGTGTAATGTTCTATTTATTTTAATCTATCTCGTGGCTTTATCAATCTATGCAGTGTGTTGTCATATCCTACCTTTTTCATTGTCATTTTGCATCACTGTTAAATTAGTTCCAAAGTATGCAGATTCATGTCCTTTTACTGCAATTTTTAATTGTCGAACCCAGCATATATATACTACCATTCACAATTGTGTAAATGCATCACCACCAAATAAAATGTATAGGAGCACATCATTTGTGAGTTCCTCTTCATGCAATGACCAAGACAATTCATCTTCAGGTAACAAACGTGAACGCTCAACGAACAACTCAACATCGCTGAACAAAGTTCCTTCTATCGAATCATATACCGACTCCAGTGGTGTAACGTGGTATGGACAAAAACGTGCATTCCGTAATGAGCCCATCGACCCTTATCACCTATTTGGTCAAGTTGGGCATGTAATTGTTTGCCCTGCAATTGATTATCCACCTTCAGGTGCTCATATCGAACCCACACCAAGATGACGACAGTTATATGACAAACGTTGTGACTTTGAAGTATTTTATCGTTGACATGAAATTGCGGTACCAAAGGCACGTTCGGCTGATATTTACAATTCACAGAATTCAAACAATCATGACGAGATCATATCAATTCTTGAACGTGAAATTGATCAAATGCAGCGTCGTCTAGATTATTTTCATGTACTCAATTATGCAAAAATAGAGCATTTTGATCTTGAATATGCCGAAATTGAAATTTTAGAGGATCCGTTACTAGTTTCTGATCCTAAACTTTCTAATTTCTCTGATTTGGATGATGATGCGTCAGATACTTTTATCTCATCATGTTTATGTGTACTCGATAATCATTTATGTTGTTTTGAATATCAATCACGTTATTGACATCTTTTTTTTACATTTATACGTTCTGAATAACTTATATTTTTTCACAGTTGATTAAATATTAATGTCGACATGATCAACATTACAAATAAAATTCAAGCATTTTAAAATTATCACAATTTATTTATTGAATGTAATTAAATTTTTAAATAAATAAAAAAAATCATCCTCTTAAAAAGAACGTGAGCAAAACAATTTTAGGTATCATTGTTAGGGTTTTTTATTAAACAAACATTTAACATTTTATTCAAAAAAAAAAAAGGCAGAAAACCTATCACTTAATGACCGGTGTTCGATATTTTAAAATATTATTGTAAGTCAAAAAACTGCGATCATATTAAAATTAATTAGAATATCGATGCATTTGTAAAATTAAAATTTATTTGATGCACTTATAATATTTTATAAAAAAATATATGATAAATTTCATAGTTAATAAGGGGTTGAAAACATCATTTGAGATGACTTCATTTCAAATGACGTTTTTAAACACGTCATTTTAAATGATGTTTTCAGCTCTTTTTATAACGTCTGTTAGTGCCGTTTAAAAAAATAATATTTAAAAACGTCACTTTGAATGATGACTTAAAAAACGTCATTTGGAATGACGTTTTCAAGAAAAAAATTTAAACTTCAAATTGTCATTTCAAATTACGTTTTTAAATAAAAAGGCGTCATTTCAAATGACGTTTTTAAAAACATACTAGATTTGAGAATTAAGTTTAAAAGTGATTAGTTTTGAAAATTAAGTTTTGAGGGGCATGGATTTGGGAAAAACCTCTATAACTCTTAAGCGCCTTTCAGAGGTGCCTTTTGTATTGCTTAACAAGTGTAACTGTTCACGTATTCATTTATCTTTGTCAAATCACCAAAAGTTTTGTCATAATGTTAAGAATTATACTGTCAATTATCATAATAAAAATAAAAATTAAAAAATATTAATATTAAGATGACATCAATCATACATAATAAGTAAATTATATTATCATAAATGAGTTAAACGAGTCTACAATGAGTTATGTCAAGTTTGTGTCTAAATCATGTCAATTCGTAAAATATATTAGTTAATCAAGTCAAAATTGAGTTGAACTAATTTTGGCATAAATCCGATATAATTTAACCCATTAAATTATTTAATTTCGTGTTGAATTCCTGTGGAAAATGGACAGCCCATTGCTAGGAGCCTATGACTTCACTACGAAAGACCACGGCCAGCAACAATCCCGGCGCATATTAGCCATCACCGCCGAGTCCCGGCGCACTCTTCCACTCTCTTACCTTCAAATATCTGATTTACAGATAGAGAAAGAGAGAAATACAGATAGAGAGTGAGTCAAGATCATCATATGGATGTATTGTTCGACTCGATCGACGTCCGAGATCTTCTCTCATCCCACGACCTCGACGACTCATCGCCATTGTCCTCGCCGGATCTGCGCCTCCTCATCGACCGACTTCAAGTCCGGTCCCTCCACATCAAGTCCAAGGTCCGAAACTACATCATCTCTCACCACGACGACTTCGCTGCCCTATTCTCCCAATGCTCCGACGCCGTTTCAAGCTCCGAACGTCTCTCAGACCAAGTCTCGGACCTCCTCAATCTCATCTCGGACCACCCGATTGACAGTGAAATCAGAGATGTGATCGACGAGATTGGGAGGAAGAGGAGAGAGGTTAAGGAGAAGAGAGAATTGTTGGAGTTAGTGGGGGTGATTTTAGAACTGAGTGAAAAGTTAGGGTGTGTGAAGGAGGAAGTGAGAAAAGGGAAGATTGTGGAGGCGGCGGAGGGAGTGGGGGAGTTGAAGACGGCGTTGAGGATTGGTGATGATCCGGTGGTGGGGGAGAGAGAGCCGTTGGTGTATGGGGTGCTGCGGAAGGAATGGACTGAGTGCTTTGAAGAGGTAATATTATTAGCAATAGTCTCAGTTTGGTTCCTGAGAAAATTGAGGAGAAAGAACAGAAATTTGAGACTTTATTGTATTTTGCGAGGTTCAATTCTATGAAGCCTAATGAAGGTGTTTATTTCATCTTCTTAACGAAGGAATGGAAGATATAGATAAGTGTCTTTTTCGTTGTTGAGAAAATGGGGTAAAGCAAATTTGGTTTTTTTCTTGCTATCTGACTTTCTAATCCATCAAATGTATGTGGGAGAGTTTGGTGAGATGATTCTTTGTATTATTAGAAGGAACTGATAGACATGACGGAGCATATTAGTTAAAAGAGTAGCTTTTGCTTGGTTGCCGGAAAAATGGAGAAAAAGAAAGTGAACAATTACAGAAGTAAATGAATTTTTTCTTGAGTTTTCTTTGAGGAAGAAGCAATTGAATTCGGCTAAAAGTTGTGCACTTAAAAAAATTGCTTAGTTGTGAGGGATACTCTACCGTTTTTTTGTTATACTCACCTTTCCTTCTCTTTTCTCCAAGTTTGTAGTGGACCACATTACATTATTTTTGGTTTGTATGCTCAATTCTGGGTGACTATTGCTGATTTTTTTATTGAGTTTGTGATTGTGTTTTAGAGGAATTGGATTTGGGTTTGTAGATACAAGAGGTGCTAGTGGGGTTTATGGAGAATGCAGTGCGCTTTGAGCAGGAAAGTAATGCAGTTCGAGTGAAGCTTCAGTTAAGTGTAAAGGCAATTGAAGGGATTGAGCTTCATACCGTTTTGAAAGCAATGGATGTGAGTTTTAACCGGTGCTCTGTTCTTTCCATTCCTATTAAGTAGGAATTTGAATTCTTTTCGGAGAATTACTGCTTATATCATGAGTAAAATCTCAAATTGTTAACAAGTAGGAGCTCTCTCTCTCTCTCTCTCTATATGTGTGTGTGTGTGTGTGTGTGTGTGTGATGCAGGTATTGGGAGATTTTATTAAATGTCCTATATTTTGGCTGGGGGGAACATAGACTGCCTGATTTGTATTAATCATATTCAAATTGGATTGTGAGACTTATTTCTAAGTTGTGAGTTATTAATTCCTCACTGAGGGTTTTATAGGTCCTTGGCATTCTAGATTATGGGCTTGCAAAAGTAGCAGACTTGATAATTAAATATGTCATCACTCCAACAGTGAACTGTGGAATGCATGTTTCATTTGTGGAAGAAATAAATCAACCCTCAGGGCATACCACTGAGGTTGTTTTGAAGATTATCCCGTCTTCTGATCCTAAGGTAAATCTTGAGATTCAAACATGCGATTTTTCCTTGGATTTTGGATTACATACTTTATTTCTATGTTTACATATGACATAATGTTGGCAGAGCTCTAAGAAGCATAGATACTTGTAAGAAGGTGTCATAGTAGTATCACAAAAGTGTCACACACCAACACTTCTGGGCTACTCTCCAACTCTTGTCTGATACTCGTTTGGCCCTACCAGTAATTAAGAAACAAAAATTAATTTATGACATGTATCCGACCCTCGGCAAAGAATTTCACACTTCTTAAGCTGTGTTTATGGCAAAGAAATAGATGTATTGCAGACTCATCTTGTTTTTTTTCCCCATCAAGTCACTTCTTGGACATTTGGTAACTTGTGATTATCAAAGTTTGAAAATTTGGCAATATGTTGGATTGTATAAAAATTTATGATTGCAAATACTAATTATGTAAAAGTTTTTTTAAAATGGACTGAAAAAATAAGGCAACAGAAAAGGATGAGAGTAGTAGATAGAAGATTTACTCATCATAAAACAAATATTTTCGTAAAGATGACTTTGACATATGTAAATATAGAAATAACCTAGCTATTTTAACATGTAATAGACAATTATTTGCAGTGTGTCCTAGCCATTCAGTTTTCAGGTTCTTTAGTATTTACCGAGTTAACGTGTCCATTTCATGTATGTCTCCATTGCTTGTATTCATAGGGAGAGCATACAATGGAAAACAATCACCCCTGTTATTTTATGGCTATTTCATCTGAAAAGCTTTGCTTAGTTTACTTTTTTGTATTTCAATTAGATAATATGATAGTGGGTTTGCTAATGGCACCCATACCTTATATTAACAGATTACAGCAATGGATGGTGAAACAATCTATTCATCGATTCTTCGGGTCATCAAGTTTATCTACAAATCCTTATTCTTTGAAAATGGTCCTTGGATGCGATGTTTTGGAAGATTGACCTGGCCAAGGATGTCAGAGATTATTATTTCCAACTTCCTTTCCAAGGTTTGTTTCCAAATTTTCTTCCAGCTTTTCTGCATGGTTTTGCCACAATGTCGTAAGGCTATTGGTAGCTTTTTATTATAGAATAAGGATAGATTGGGTTTGGTTTGTGTATTTTATTATTAAAGCAAATGGTTATTATCTTCCTGTCATTTAAACTATTATTTCAACCAGAAACTGATCTAATAGCCTTTGCTTGCAATCCGTCCTCTTCATTTGAAAGAAGCATGATTTTTAGTTTTTATATTTATTCTTTGGTCAGAGAGAAGCATGATTATTATGTATGTTTAAAAGTGGAAAAAGCTTACCCACAATTGTGGAAACTATTAATCCAATTGAGTCATCTAATGTGCTAGATACATAAAACAAAACTAGTGTTGTGGTGAATCATGCATGTCAGAGAAGTTCAGTCCATCAAACTTGTCCTAATCACTGATATGTGGAGATCCATATAACACAGATCTTTCTAGTCAGAAGCATTATGCAATGACCATGAAGCATACCCACACAAAGATGAGAGCTGGAATAGCAATAATTTTGAAAGTGTGCAACATGGAAGAAAACTGGGGGAGCCTGTAGCACATTTGTACAATGAAACACAAGAAGATAGTTTTGGCACTTTTTTATTTGTCTCAATTGCTTACTTAATATATGGTTACGGAAGAGATTCATGAAGCGAATGCACATCATCATCATTATGATTTTTGCTCATATATGAGAGGTTGACCAAACATTCTGCATAAGGGGAAAGTTGTAAGACGAAGATCTGGTGGGAATGAGTCATTGACAGATGACAGTGTTGTGATAAAATGGTTAGGTTAGCAACCACAAGGTTGTGAGTTCCAATCATAGTACAAAACCATTACCACCTGCAGCAGATGATGGGATGATTTTTTATTTGGGGTTTGATTGAAATGTAAATAACTAGTTGACTTAAGCGTACATAATGTGTGCTTGGGTTCAATCCCCTCTTTTTGGTGCCTATAGTATTTTTTTCTTTTGATTTTTTTTCCAAAGAAGATGATATCTAAACTTCATAAACAATCAGTTCATCTACAGGTCCAAGTGATTTTTAAAATGCCTCCCTTTTTTGTTCAGTAGAGGGGATAATTCCCCAGAAACCTTTTGGAATAAAATAAAACCATAAAAAGAGATTTGCTAAACATAGCATGTAATTTCAAGTTGAAGAAGAAAGTAAAATTAACTCTGTTTATCTCCCTTCGTTTTCTTCAAAGATAATTTTTATTTGTTTTCAAAAGTAAAAAAGGAAGGCTCACTTTACATTCTTTCTGATGGGAACCACAGATATTATCATATAGGTGGGGAGAAATTTCTTATCTTATTCAGCATTTACCTTCTGTATCAGGATATTCTGTAAGAATAAGTGGGATCTGACATTTATGATTGTTTTACCGGGAGAGCTGCCTGAAAGTTCAGGTGTCTTGGTTGGAGACAGTAATGAGATTGGTTTTCATATTTCTTTGAGCTAAATATTTGGAAGCTTAAAGACAATGCTGACACCCTGAGGAATTCCAGTTTTTATCTAAGTTGCCTTGACCATTATATAAACTGTTATTGCTTAATTGCACATCTTCGTCTCTAATTTCCATTTTCTTTTTAAATGGTTTTATCGTATTATAACGACCAGTAATCAGAGCTTCATATATTTTTGTCATTTTTCTTGGTAATGAAGTAAATTATCTCCTACCATTCCTGATTTCAGGTGGTCCCTGACAATGCTTCTAAACTTGTAGACTTTCAACAAATTGTAAAACTTACATCTGAGTTTGAGACAGATTTAAAGGAATTGATGTTCATTTCCGCATCTGATAACAAGGATGAAAGATTAAGCAATTTTGCTGACAATGTTGAGGTTCACTTTGCATTGAAGAAGAAAGTTGAGATCTTAGCGAAGGCTAGAAATTTGCTTCTGCAATGTGATTTCACACTTCCTCAGGTGAACTTACAACACCAGAGTGCTGCAGTATTAAGTTATTGAGATGTTTTTACTGATGAATAGTGAATCTTCCACAGGACTATAAGAGTGAAGCTACTCGATTAAAGAATGAAAGAACTGGTGAAAGCTCCAGTGATCATGTTGTAAACTTGCTTTTCTCGTCTGAGAGGTGTGTTGTGTCTGGAGCAGCCTCTCAGCTAATGGTGCTGGTGCATCAAACCCTTAAGGTCAGTAGAACAATGGAGGAACAGTGACTTTCTCTTCATCTTTTGTGAAAATTAAGATTAATTTTTTTAGTTCTAAGATATTTCAAGGTTACTGCTTTTTTTTTTTTAAAGGCTCCTAGCCTTCTCTTGGTTTACATTTTCTTGCATTAACTCTATTAGCAAACTATCTCAGTTTATTTTCTCTTGTGCTGTCTTTGTCTATTATTCCCCTGATATGATGAATGTGCTTTGAAGCAGTTTGTGGAAGATACCCACCTCCTTCACCTTTTGTGATCAAATTTTTTTAACAATGCATCACACACACACAGAGAGAGAGAGAGAGAGAGAGAGTATTTGTGTATAAGATGCTTAAACTCCCGGTTTATGTGGAATTGTGTTGCTGGAACTTTGATTAGATGTCATTCGTTTGAGTTCGCATTTGCATTTCTGCTAGAGATTTTTTGACTTAAGCAGTTATATTTATATTGTTTTTGACAAGGGATAATAATTAATGGGAAATTTGCACAGGATGTTTGCTTGTCTTCCACAAGGGTAGCATTGGAATTCTATCATGCTGCAAGAGATGCTCTACTTCTTTATGAAGCCGTTGTCCCTGTCAAGGTTAGTGCGTGGAGGTATTTGCATGACTCAAAAGCTTATGAACTTCATAATCTTGCTAATCATGACTATTCCAGATATTCATACATCTCACTCCTTTCCCAAAGTTGTTTTGTATTTGAATGTGCACGAATTAAACACAAACAGCATGATTATGGTCTAAATATCTTGTTTTGGCATATGAAGCTAGAAAGGCAGCTTGATAGCATCAACCAGGTTGCTGTTCTTATTCACAATGACTGTCTCTATCTGTCTCGGGAAATTCTTGGGCTTGCATTTGAGGTACGGATGGTTGGTTTTTGCATGCTTGACTGCTTCACATTGATAACCTCTTGCGATGCATGTCTGTGTGTGTGTTTGCTGGTGCCAATATTTTATCCCATTGCTTATACTCCAACGTGATTGTTATTGTGATACAGAATATTGGAAGTTACCTTACTTTAACCAAGTCACCCAAAGCTGGTTTAGACTTCAAATAGAGTTCTAGTGTTACTAGTGACATTTATAATTTGAGGTATTTCTATAGGTATTGGCTGCAAAACTTATTTGTGATTACAGTGCTAAGGGAATGTAATCATTTAGATAGCCTAGTTGAAACAGTAAGCTTGGTTGACAACCATGCCGTCTTGAACTTGAATCAAAGGATAGACATTTGGTGAAAATAATTCAAGGAATAAAGTCATGCCAAGTCCAACGTGCCCAATACCATCAGTGAAAGTGATTGTCTTAACTCACACTGGAAGTGAAAGTACTGAAATCTTATCTGCCGTTCCATAATGATCTAGCAGATGCTCAAGTACTCTGATTTTTTGTTTTGTTTCTGGATGCCATTTATGCTATGTCTTGTTGATGTATGGCCGAGTGAGCTTAAAAATGTGCACTCTGCCATTTCAGTATCGCTCGGACTTTCCAAGTTCCATGAAGGAATTTGCTGTGTTTGTTGATTTGGCCCCAAGGTTCCAGCTGTTGGCAGAAGAAATCTTACAGAGACAAGTCCAACTTGTCATTTATAACCTAAATAAGGTATGTATGCTGTCATGTAAATATGTGGATTTGATGTTATGCAGGCAGTATATATTCATTTGCCTTTGTGAAGCTTGAAATTGTGGATTCATCATTCTTCTATCTTGTGATTAACTAGGCTATAGATGGTGCTGATGGATTTCAGGATACCCACCAAATGCAACAATACGAGTCTACAAAGTTTAGTATAGATCAGGTTGCAATACTAGGTGGATGCATTCTTGTTTCATGATTTCCTTTTGCAATTTTTTTGCTTTATTAGGTGATGGAAGTAAATGTTGTTTTATCAGGTTGTTTTCATCCTTGAGAAAGTACATATTATTTGGGAGCCTCTCTTGCTACCTTGGGCTTACAAGGGAAGTATGTGCATGGCCCTGGAGGCAGTGTTTTCTAGAATGACAAAAGACATACTACTCTTAGATGATATGGCGGCTGAAGAAACATTGCAGGTCCAGCCTATGAACTTATATGCGGGATTTGTATGTAGACGAAAACTTAGTCTCAAAAGCTAACACATTGCTATCACGTCTCCAGCTTCAAAGACTTATTCATCTGATGCTGGAGAGCCTAGCTTCTTTGTTGGAGTCCCTGATTGCTATAAACAAAACAGAGAAGTCACAAGAGGGCCCTGTATGTTCTCTTGATGACTCCATACCATCTCTACGTAAAATACGAAAACTGGCAGGTATGATTCTTGTGTGATGTAGATGGTGAACGTTGACTATAATTGATGATCTGCAACCAAAAACTAATCACCTAATGTTTCATTTTCATTCTTGTCCTCCTCTAATCTTTGTAGAGTTGTTGGACATGCCTCTAAAATCCATTACAGCAGCTTGGGAGAATGTAGAACTGTTCAGTTGTGGGTTTACATTGTCAGAGGTATGGTGAAATGAATGAACACTTCTTGTTGGGTTCATGTGCTATGTTGGAAATTCAGTTTGGCAATTACCTCTTACGAAACTGATACCTTTGATAAATTTAAACTGAAATGGAGAAAATCTGATGTCTCAGCAAAATGATTGAAAAGTTTTGGGTTTAACTTGTTAAACATGAATGATTTACTTACATGTTTATTTTTTTGAAATCCGTCTATCATCTTTATTTTAACGAATTCCCTTTTCTTTTTGTTTGTTTGTTGAATATAAAAATTCCTTACCTTGAAGCTTCTTCAATCCACATCTATTTTGTTTTATTTGTTATTTTTTTTTGGGTCAATCTTGTTTTTCGTACTTCCTTGGATAAGATTATTTTCCATCTCAGTTGTGTAACCTGTTCACTTATGCAGGTAGAAGAGTTTATCAAGGCCATATTTACAGACTCTCCTCTAAGAAAAGAATGCTTATGGAGAATACAAAGTGCAAGTTTTTAGAAGTTCTTAGGTTTGCCGAAATGACCCGTGTACACACCCAGAGGAATTAACCCATGTCAAAGTTATATTCCCCCGTCCTAGAAACCAGAAGGGAGAGACAGAGATTTGTTTGAATAGTTTTCTTTTTTTTTTTTTTCCCTTTTTTAAAAGTGCTGTATTTATACGTAGGAACCTTCTAATGAAGGCATCAAGTAAAATATACATGTGCGGCATCAGCTTATTGGGGGAACAGAAGGGGGAAAGATTTATTCATTGAAGTGTATTTTTTTTTTCTTCAACCAGCGAAAAATGTGTTAGACAGATTGCCAAGTCCTTGCGATTTATGACCTACAGTTATCTTTTTTTTTCTTCCTACTTTTGCGAGAACGGAGATGCCACTACATGCATTGGAAAAGGGTGATCAACTGTGACCAAAAGAATAAAATATCCAGTGAAAAGGGGATAGGGCCCGTAGCTCTGAAGAATAGAGCATGTGGCTACGAATCACGATATCGGGGGTTTGAATTGCTCTCACCCGCAAACGGCTGAAAAGGGAAGGGTCTTTCTTTTTGGGAGTAAGAAAATTATGATTGCTATAGGGATAATGAGTTTGAATTTCATATTTTCTCGTGTGAGAAAAAGTATAAATATCTTTGTATACCAAGGTGTCAGTAATGAGTACTGCATCCTCGGAATTGGAACATTTCCATGACATATAAACTAGTATTACATTTTTCCCCAAAGCCAGTTCGTCACCAGCGGTAGCAGTGTCATACACTAAAATTTGACTTTTATTGTATGAAATAAGAACTAGTTCACCAAATGTTATTTCTAAAAATATTTCATATTCAAATTAACATGAAAAAGATCAGTTACTTGCAACAAAATCTTTCAATAACGAAGAAGTTGTGTTAGTACACAATAACTATCAAGTGGTCCAAATGACTAACACAATGCTCTAACTTCAAATGCTCATTCTTTTATCTCTTTAGTGCTGCTACACTCTCCAAAAGATTACAACTCATCCTTGTTTGCATTTTCTTCCCCCATGAGTTCTTCGAGGGAGAATTCATCTTCTTCAATGATTTGTCCGTCTTTACCGTCCCAGGGTTCAGTCTTCACAATCACAGGGGTGCCATCTAGAGGCAGATTGCCCTTTCCTCCATATCCAGCTTCTTTTACAAATTCTCTGAAAAACCAAATGAATGGTATGTACATTGGACTCATTTTAGAACAACCGCATTCAAAAGATAATAGAACAAGTACTTACACAATCTGGTCACGCTCAAATGCACTTCGAAGTGATGTGTATGCTCCTTTCTTCACATTCATGGCTACCAAAGCTGGATACCCATATCCACCAACGCCTACATGCTTTTCAAGATCTGGCTGCTTACCTGCAGCCGCCCAAACATAGCTGCAATATTTATCAAACCAAATATTAGTAAGAGTGTTATGCAAAGTGAAAACCAACAGAGCTATTGGACCTCATGTTTCTATCAGCGCATTGAAGCTGCATAAAGCATATGATCTGATTTACACAATACAATACGTTGACTCCAGATATGAGGACCTCATTTAAAGGCTATAGACTAGAATTATTATTTACGAGAGGATGTAAAATCAAGAAAAGTACAATTGTGTTGTTACCTGTAAGGACTCCTTTTGAACTTCTCTGCAACTGATAATAACAATTCGAGGTACTTGTTTCTTCCCTCTGCTTTGGAGTCCAAAATGTCAGGGAAGAAGGCAACAAAACAGATGGCAGCTGATCCACATTTCTCTTCCATGACATCCTTTATGGAAAGTATCAAAACAGTCTTATCCTTCCATTTTTAAAATTCCACAGAAGAAGAAACTTTGATTGGGAGATCAAAACTTACTGGGCCAGTCAGTTCAGTCACTTCAGGAGGTGAAACATTTGTTTCTACCTGCTCCAGTGCAAATGATTCGATTGCAGAGGCAGATCTTGCACCTTCATAAGGGAAAGGACTGTCTTTGTCACCACCAAACACTAAGATAGTGGGGAAACCTTGCACACTGAATCTGCTCATTAAAGACTGGTAAATACACCCCATTAGAACCATTCCATTGAGAATACCACAAGAAAAGCTAAAAGGGTGCATCCAATTAGATTTCAATTTTAGTGCCCTCCCCGTTTGTCAGAATTGGAAATTATGCAGGACAAAAAGTCGACATGACATGTTTCCATAGATTGCAATAAAAATGTTGATCTTGCACGAATTACGCATACACGTGATGTGTAAAATAATGAAGGAAAATACTGACCCTCAAAAATGAAAATGATTGAAACTGCGATGGTATTGTCAAACATTTGAACTCTTTTATCTCTATATATAAAAAATTAACTGTACATATTGGAGTAAATGAACTAAAATTTAAAAACTTGGCTGGCAAAGGAGAGAAATCAGAAGCCAGATAGCTATATATACTTGTTATATCTTGGAGAATAATGATGTAAAACATAATCATTACAAAGGAAAACATGATGAAATAGAATTATAGTATACCAGACCAATATCAGAATGTCTGAAATTACCTTCTCCGCATCACAGTCTACATGACCCAGCTTCACCTTGCCCTTCAATTTATTTGCAGCTTTCTTCCACTCAGGAGCAAGCTTCTTACAATGTCCACACCTTAAATAAGATAAATAAGTCATCACTAAATTCAAAAGACAAAATATTTGAATTGCATTAAAATATATTTCCAATAGTAACACACATTTAAACATGCAAATTCTACAAACTTAAAGTTCAATTTAACCACATGATCAGTTAAACAGTAAAAGATAAATGATACGAGACATTGGAACCTGTTTATTTACTTCTAGTTCTTATATGATGCTGGTTTTTATTTACTTCAAGAAGTGTAAGTTTCAACAGTCATAACTTCTTGCTTATATTACTTACCCCCCAAAAAACTTCTTGCTTATATTAAATAATTACTTGTGGGATTCTGATATCCACTCAAGATTTCTCTTAAGTTCTAGGCTAGGTGAACACTCTGCACCAGCTTCTATAAAATTTAACTTGGTGTCACGTTGAATTTAATATCAAATTCTATCGAGATCATAGTTGCACTTGCGCCAGCTTGTTTAAGTTACACTATTCCATGGTGGCATATATTATTGAAAAAGGCATTTCTGATAGAGTGAAACAAATCTGAAGATATCAATTTTTTCTTAAGCACTGCTGCCACATGCAGCCATTGACAGAATAATCAATCTCCTAGTCTACCTGAGAATCATCCAAAAAGTACAGGTTAAAACAACTAAAATCGTTGTTAGTAAGCAACACTTACCATGGCGCAAAGAACTCCACAATCCATAGATCTTTACTTTTAACAACCAACTCATCGAAATTACGTGAATTCAGTTCTACGGATGCACTAATTTCCGACTTCTCACTAGATCCTCCTGCAGCTTTTCCATTTAACCGTTCCTTCAGAAGTGCCTTAATCTGTTACAACTGACAAATCTCAGAAGTATAACTTTTTACAAGTGCTCAATAAAAGTAAGCACAAAACCAGGATAGGCAAAGGTTTGCCATAAGTTTTGCTCCTTGGGTGGTGGTCAACACCACCAAAGACTGTAAGACTGTCTCATGTGCGCATCAAGAGGGGTAGAACAGCTTTGGGGGAGGGGAAGGGCGAGGGTTACTAAGTGGGTGGTGATCCCCAGCGTTTGGAGGGCAACACAAAAAGGATGAACTCAAAGGCAAGGGGATATATTGCGATGAGGGGTTCTGCAGGTCTCTATTGAGAAAGGGTGAAGAGAAGAGGAGTAGTGGTTGTAGAGGGGAAGATGGGGGGGGTGGTCAGCGGTGGGAGTGAAGGGGTTTCCGGGCAGTGGAAAATGAGAAGGGGAGTGTGTTGGTGGAGGAAAGGGGAGACTAATAGGGCTGGTGGAGGTGGTGTGCACTTGTGCATGTGTGTTGCAAAAACCAGAGAGAGAGAGAGAAAGAGATCTAGAAGGGGCAATTTTTTGTGTTCTAATCTTTACTATGAGTAATTGGTAATTGTGTTATCACCATTCATGCCAGTGTAGAAAAAAATGGGACTAGAGTAGTTAGTGTAATATCAAAACTACAAGGATACCACTGAAATTTTTCGAAACTGTATGGGATGTCAGTATTTTACACAAGAAAAGAATGGCCAAAAGAAAGGAAGGAAAATTAGTAGGATATTCACACAAATGATGACTTTTTTTCCCTCATAATAAATAAGATGCCTTTGCATCTTCTATGCAATTTAAAAGATAAAGGACAAAGCAACAAGTAAAAATTTTAACTGAATTTCCAAGTCCAAACTGATAAAGCTGACCTGCTGGAGTGCAAATTCTGCAATGGGTTTTACATCCCTAGCTCCTTGATAATCCTGAGGAGGTTTCCCAGGTACAAACACCTTTATAGTTGGAAATCCTTGAATACCATATTCCTACCAAAAACAAAACAGGAGACCATGTCATAACAGGATAACTTAGCCATCCATAAGTGTATTCCCCAATACTTCTTTCACTCAAGGAGAAAAATCCTTGAAATCTTCTTATCAAGTGAAAGATAATCTAGCAAGATGTAATTATTATTTAAACGAAATGATATGTAACAGTATCTCAGGAATAGATCCTCAGTAGTCCTGCAGATATGCGTACCACTCTTACCCAGCTTCTGTGCTTTACGTGATAGCTTGTTCAATTACGTGAACTTTTACAATCTCTTCTACACCATATACCAATATTTTGTCAATATTATGGATTATTACATGTAACTTCATGGACAACCTGCAATAACCGCCAGGTCTGCAACCTCATGGTGTTTAACTTCATACGAGAATAGAGATTTCCCATCTTTTTTCTTCCTTTTCTGGAGTTTTATACATATAACCCTAAACACCCTAAAATTAACTATCCTTTGGTTTCTCTCTCTTGTCTTTTCGTTAACTTTGGCAAACACTACCCCTGCCACCACCACCAGATCCACCGCTGTCAACAGCATCATATCAAAAACATCACTATGACCACTACTCACAATAGCCTGTGTTGTCAATGACACAGCCATAAGTGCAATTAAGTTATCATAAAAAATATTATTAATTTTTGGAGACTCCAACCAAAAATCTCACGATGCCTACTGCATTCAGGCAGTTATTTTCTCACAGTTGATCAACTATATCAATAGATATATTTACCTTAATGACAAACTAGACAAGTCACAAAAGCACAGCATTTTTTCAAAAATTTTTGAAGCAAGAAATATGTGAACTACACAAAACCTGAGCAAGGGACTTGTGAGCATCAGCATCAAGAGCTGCTATAGTTGCAACACCTTTTAAAACAGTAGCAGCCTTCTCCCATGTTGGTGTCAGAGCTTGACAATGACCGCACCAAGGTGCAAAGAACTCAACTAAAACTACCCGATTCGAATCCAGGACCTGCCACCATTTAAAATATGTTAAGTTCTCAGGAATTGGAGTCTTTCACTCGACCAAAAATATTGACAACTGCTAAGTAATAGAAGCAAATAACCTATATCCAAGACCCAGGAAATCTTATAGCTTTTGATGTTTACGACACTGCCACAAACTCTGCAGTTCCCCCACATAAACCAAAGGAGAAATGTCCTTCATTGGATATCAAGATTGAAATCATAGAGAAAAAAATGTAAATTGCAAAGGAAAAGAGAGAACAAACTGACTTCGATAAAAAAACACAAATTTAGGTTGTCAATTAAGAGGCCGGCTGTGAATCAACTGTTTCAAGAAATAAACCATTATTTAAACACACATTAACGGGATTTATCTTGGAAAAGACATTTGCATTTAAACAAAAACATCCTTCACTGAAAAAAGAATTTGGATTACTCTATGCAAATCAAAATTTCATACAATTCACGCGTAGGAGACAATATGCAACCACATAGAAAGTATACCCATTTATAGAGGGATAAAATTGATGAGTCATACAATGAAACTATGGGAAAGGGTCATTGAACGTCACCAAAGAGTTGAGATTATAGTTTCAGAAAATCAGTTTAGGTTTATGCCTAATATATTAACTATGGAAGCTATATATTTATTAAAGACATTCGTAGAAAAGCATAGAGAGAAAAAAAAAATTCATATGGTGTTTATAGATCTTAAAAAAAACGTATGATAAAGTGTTTAGAAATATAATATGGAGGGTGTTTGGGAGATGAATAGGTATATTGAGTTAATAAAGGATATATATGATAGGACTATGACTACAATTATGTCTTTTGTGGGAGATTTTCAATCACGGTGGGATTACACCAAGGATCAATCCTAAATCCATACATATTTGCCCCAATTATGGATGAACTCATTAGACACATTGAAGATGAGGTCCTATTATGTATGTTATTCGTAGATGATATTATCTTAGTACATGAAACTTGAAGGGGGATTAACAACAAGCTAAAAATTTGAACAGAGATACTCGAGTCAAAAGGATTTAAAATAAATTGGAATAAGATTGAATACATGCAATGTAATTTTAGTAATAAAAGAAGAAGACATAGTGAAAAAGTTAAGATCGAAAATTAAGATATACTAACGAGTAAACGATTTAAATATCTATGATCAATTATTAAAAATAATGGAGAGATTGGAGACGATATAACTCATAGAATCAATGTCAATTGTCTTAATTGGAGGAAAACATTTAGCATATTATGTGATTAAAGAATACCAATAAAATTGAAAGACAATTTTTACCGAACAACTATAAAGATAGCAATGTTGTATGAGACGGAATATTGGGCAATTAGAAAACAACATAATGAGAAAATAAGTGTAGAAAAAATGAGAGTATTAAGGTGAATGTGTGAAAACCCTAAAAAAGATAAAATAAGAAATAACCGTACTAGAGATATGGTAAGAGTAGCTCCAATTGAGGATTTGGATAAGTTGAAAGAGAGTAGATTAAGATTGTTCGGTCATGTTCAATGGAGGCCGGGTTGAGAAAAATGATAGAATTTCTCTTAATGATCCTATAAATACATTGAATAAAATCATCAGAAAATATATAAAAATATTTAACTTAAATGAGCATAAATCATATGACCGAAATGAATAGCAAAGACGCGATCTTTCGGTGCCAATCCCCAATGATTGGAACATAGGGCTTGGTTTGTTTGGTTGGTAGGTATAAAAATTTATACCCGTTTAACCAGTGTTTGCTAAAGGAGAACGAAAGCACACAATACCAAAAACTTAATACTTATCCATTAATCAAGAACTTTATCACTCATCAATTGATCAAAAACTCAAATACTTTCCGATTACTCAAAGAAACAAGAGGATGAGCTTAAAATGTGCAATTCACAGTAAAAGAACTACAACTCTTCAGTTTATTAATCGAACCATTACCAGAAATACGACAATAAAAAAATCAGATCCCTTATATATGAACAAAAACACAAAGTACCCACAAACCGAAATTTGAAATAACTTGATAACATCAGTGAATTGTGCACCAAAACAATGCTGAGTGATAGAAATTTACAGAGCTGATCAGTGCGATTTTTACCTTGGACTTGAAGTTGGAGGGACTGAGCTGAACCACAGGTGATGATGGTCCGTACAGTGCATTGACGCTTGCACTGAACTCCAAGATCAACAAAAACAACAACGAGAGGAGTGATGATCGGTGCATTCTCTCTCTCTCTCTCTATTTTCTTCTTCTTATTCTTCTTCTTCTTTGCGGGGCAGGAAAATTAGTGCATAATCTTCTCGACGCAGACAAGAAAAAACCCTTTTCTGGGCGAGCTACGTGTGTTCACCAATCGCAGCTGTACACGTCAGCTTGCCTTGTAAATGTAGGGGGATTTTGATTTACACAAACAACCCCCATTTTTTTGGTCGTTCACAAACCACCCCTTCGGTTTTCTATAATTTGTAAAACAGGTTTGGAATGTCTTTAATTTGTAAAACATGGTAAAAAAAATTATGATAAGGTATGGTATTGAAAACTACTTTTTGGTACCACATTGGAGAAAAAAAATACAAATGTAAAATTTATTTTTCAAACCGTGCTGGAGAAAGAAAATTTTGTTTTTGTTTTTAAAGATTAGTTACTACTTTTTGAGGGTGTTTAAGATCATAAGCGACTTTTAATTTTTTTTTTTTTTTGTTATAGTATGATAATGATACCCAAAAATTGTGGTTAGACTTATCCTTGTTGTGGGTGCAAATGAAACATGATGGTGGTGTTGTGCATGTGGACAAAGAAAATCTAATGAAATTATTCTACTTCATTAAAAAAAACAGAAAATTGTGATTACATTTTCTTGTTTTCTCTGTAATAAACAAGAACAAATATCATATCAATCTGTTTGTAAAATTGTTCTATGCTTCCAAAAATCAAGGTATTTTGGTGTTTTATCAACTTTGTCCGATAATCATTTTGAGTGGATCTACGAGACTAAGCAAACTTTACTAGATTTTTACTAAAAAACTAAGAGGATATGTATTAGATGACAGATATTAATATCTGTAAGTCGGAACTAGGGTACCAAGACTACCCCCAATATTTAAGCAAATATCTCCACATTTTTATGTTGGAAATTATTCCAATATTACTTTGACTAGAAAATAATTGGGGGAAAAATAAAAATAAAATAGGAGATTAAACAATCAAATTAAAGTGACTTACAATCAGATTCAAGATTGACTCTTCGTTCAACTCACTTCAACTTATTACTACTAATACATTGCATAGGACTATTTTTATTAGCTTTAATTAAGAGGAATGTTATTAAGACCTAATTTATTGACTTAATTCACTATAGTCATTTGATTGGTTGTTAGTCTTATTAAACATTAGAACTTGTTGTTAATCTAACAGTTACAATGAAATGATAGGTCAATAAATTCGGTCAAATTTTTAAATCTTAATAACATTATTCATTAATTATACCTCTTTATCTTACATTGAATACGTCTACCTACACTAACTCTTGTATAAATTAAAATAGAGCACTGTTACATGAACTTAAAAACTAAACTTAATAATTACAATCATAAATATTACTGTGGGTCTCAATATTTATTAAGACCCACTACATATTCAACTAGGAAAAACTCGTGTCTGAAGGCACGGTATAATGTGAATAGTTTGAAGAAGGATGTTGATAACCGTTGAATGAGTTTATTTGAGATCGTCGGATGGACTAATTAAAGTCTGTCTTGTTTTATATTATAAATAATTGTGATTATCAAGTCTAATTTTTAAATTCATGTAACGTTACTCGTTAAAATATCAAGACATCATTTTCTCCCACTAGCTCTCCTATTTTCTACTATTTAAATATTGATTACCTGTTATTTTCTTTTATTATATTTAATATCAAAGTAATGTTATTAAAATTTAAAAATTTGACTTAATTGTTAAACTAATGATATGGCGGTGGCATAATTCAATAAAATTATTATGACCGTAACAATTGAACTTCTTAATTGCATTATATCGCTTGACACATTTTTAAATTAATAAAATATAAATTTTTTTATATCTCAATAATATTACTCTTACCAATAACACGCACCAACTATAACTCGTAGATCGAAGTCTATTTTGCAACACTTCAATATGTAAGTGACGGCTGGGTTACGTATGGAAGCTGGAGTTATTCTAAGTTTCCAGCTTTCAGTTTCTCCTTTATCGTGCTGTTGTTTTGCTGATGTATAAAAACAAACCAATCTCTCTTTCTCTTTCACAGAAAGCAACAAAAGACAAGGAGGCTTCTCATTCATTTGAAACAAACGAATCATCTCTTCCACCCCATTAAAACTTAACACTAAGCCACCAAGATTCATGAAATAAGCTTGAATGCTCCAATATCGATCTTCTATGTGGGTGTGATCAGTGAAGTCATCCCCTTCCCGAATCCCCATTAAATAAGCATATATTGCTGCAACCTTTGAGTGAGAGAGAGAGAGAGAGAGAGGGATCATGGAAAAGATAAGAGAGAAGCCCATGAGAATGGAGAAAGTTAGAAAGTGTTGTAGAAAGTTGAAGAAGATGTTCACCTCCACTGGTGGGAGCTCTGATAAAAAGTCTTCAATCTCATTCTCACCTCCTCCTGCCATTCACTGTGATGAGCTCTTCCTGCCCAGAGGAGGGAAAAGTGGTGATCACCAGGAAAATGATTTTTATAGTGATTCCTTCATAACCCTTCATATTGCTGCCCAAAATTACTTATCCACACTGCCAATTACATACTTGTTCATCTGTCATCATGTAGGAAATCTGAAAAGGTAGATGGTATTCTTGTTTGCTTCAATTGCACCAAGTATCGTACGAGTTATAAAAACAATCTCTCCGAAACTCAAAAGGTTTTATGAGGTAATCTGGCTCCAGAAAGGTAGCAGCAACTTTTGGCTGATGCTGTTTTCATTGGTGTTATTATAATCTTAGAGTGAGTTTGTCAAGTAGAAATCAAATCATCTGTACTTAGTTGTTTTTCAATTCACCTGAGCTGTGGTTTATGAAGCATGTTTCACCTACCAATGGCCTTGCTGCCAATGTTTTGCCTGTAACTTCTTTATATATCTGCACAAGCAAATTTTTTCATTAAATCTCTCGGCCAATTTATCTCTTTTTTTTTTTTAACGGTTAAGCGTGTTTGGATTAGTTTATGCATATTTCGACTAATCCCTTCTCAGGTCTGGTCAAAGACAGGTCATCCACGCCCAGATTATAATATTCATGAAGATAAATCTATCATGGTCTGACTCCAAGAAATTCAAGATTCGAAATCAAGACATCTAAATTTACAATTAATTATTATTATCACTTGGGCTAGGTTGGAGTTTGCCCAAATTATCAATTAAACCCGAAATGTAATAGTTTCAGAAGTAAATGGCAATGCACAAACCATTTGCTACACCCAAATTCATTGTCAACAGGAAAAAAAAACAAAATAAAGGAAGTATACACATTATTATGGAATGTACACTGATTTCCTAATTTTTTCTTAGTAAGGAGGCTTCTTTTAGACTCATGACTACAATATAAATATTAAATGAATATATTGATCTACAACCATGTGCATTGAGCATAAGGTTCTATACAATCAAGGGGCTCAAACTTAGGATATGCAGGTTTATTCCTTGTCTCTTATTTGACCGTTGAACCGACTCGTGCTGATTGATTCCTATTCAATTTTTTATACAGCCGACATATATCATTAGGATGCTTTCGACAAATGCATGTCCACTACCAAATTAACCCTATCATAGAAAACATTGGGAGAATGGCAGATGAAAAAACCAACATTGGGAGTTTGTATAGTTTTTTATTTTTTGGGAAGGAAGAAGGGGGAGATGAGGTTGGAACCCGCAACCACCGGTGGGCAAAAGTAAGCCATTATCATTCAATCACTCTCTCGCCTTCAAACACAATTTGTATAGTGGTGCGTATAAAAATATAAAACTTGGACATATGCGTGTATCTCTATATTACTATACATACAATAAAGCTTATCGAAAAAGAATAAATTCAGACGAGGAAAAACACAAAACAAATTCCAAAAAATACTTATAAAATCGTTATTAAACGGTATCTTAAGTAATTATACAATTTTACAAAAGAGCATCCCTTAAATGTTTCTCAGTGAAGCTTGAAGAAGGCCATGAGAGGATTATACACAACTTGATTAGCATTCACACCAAAAACAAAATCAGCATGAGCATAGTCCTCTCTGTACTGAACTACGAGCTTATCAGCGTCGTGATCTTTGAGAGTGTCGAGGAGAGTCTGAACATCATTCACATCAGAAAGGGCATCCTTCCCTCCGTAGCTGAGGAAGAGAGGAAGGTCATTGGGGATGCTAGCCATGTTGTAGTTTGGAGGAGTGGGTTGGCCATAGTGGTTCATGTTTTCTTCTTTACTTCCATAGTCAAACATTGCTATTGTCCCTTGTCTAATCACTGTTCAACATTAGAAATAAGAAACCAAGAAAAATATGGGGTTAGAACAATTCTTAAAAAATAAGATTGTATTTTATTGGCCTTTGATGTTCATTTCTTCCCTTTATAAGGGATGGGAGAAATTTTTGTGTGGTCTTAACACACCACTTGACAGTATTAAGTGGTGTGCACATCCAATGAAAATTTTTCTTGTTAGGAACGCTAAATTCTGGGGCAGTTACAAGAATATGTTAATGAGGTTTTTTTATTTTTATTAATATTCTAAAATTTTAAATCAATTTTATTTTGGATCCTTTATGATGATGAATAGTTTTATTAGTGTTTTGTGCTTAAATGAAAAAAAAAATCGAGTTTGAGATATGTAAAGAATGTGTTGGATTTGTTTTTGTTTTTGTACAAGAGAGGTAAAGATTGATGCTTATTATATTATTTTTGATAGGAGAAAGTCAAAAAAAGATTGATAAAATAAGACTTGTTACCCTTTTTTGTCCTTCAGCAAATGTGATTGTTTGAAGTGAATTAGACTTTTGGGTCCAAATTTAAAAATTATTTTTGTTGGTTTACTCAATCCGTAAAGTCGATTCTTAAATTTGGATCTAAAGTGGACACTTTTTTTCTTCTACTATTGAGCCGGCATTGACCAAGTTGTTTCTTTTTTATGAAAAAAAATCTGCACTTTGCAAATGTCGTTCAATGAATCAAACTTACGTGAACAAGAACTTATTTGTATTTTCTAAGGAAAAAAATGCATCTAAATTGAGAATCATCGCATAAAACTCAAATACTAACTACCCTCATCAGAAACCCAAAGTTAACTATTTACTTAGAAAAATCTCTAGTTAAAATGTTCAATGAGCTGCTTCTAATGGCTGTGGAACCAAGTCTTCATGTACAAGAACTGGGAAAACTTACTCTGAGCAAGATGGACCATGTTCTTGGTTGCTGTAGATTGAGGTTCATGTTCAAGAAAATCAACTGTTGAGGAAGAGTTCACACAGCAATTGGGGCCTAATTTCAGCAATTATTAAACAAATCTGATTAGTAATCGAAATTAAGAATTTTTTTTTTCTGGCCAGCATGCTGATGAGCAGGCCAAGCTAGATCAACAAGGATTTGGCTCTCCTCCAATTTCACAAGAAACGGAGGATACTCTTAATTCTATTTTGAATGGTCAAGATAATATACATATCAACACATTCTATTAATTCAAAAAGTATGGAGAATATATGAAATTGAAAAACAACTAAATCTGTTGATGTTTATAAAGTTTGATCTTTCGAGAATCACAGGATCTTTCAATTCTTATGAAATTGGAGGAGAGCGAGAGCTCACAGTTTACCCGTAAACGAAGTGATCAAGTCAGTGCAATTTGTGTTTGGGTTCTTGCAGATATCTTCCAAGAGTTTGGCCACAGCTTCCCTGTTCAATTGTAAAGAAATGATATTCAATCGATTTTATAACTAAAAAAGGACAATCCAGTGCATGAGACTCCTAGTACTTGCACATTCTTGTAAGTTTATAGTCATTGGTCATCATGTACTGTTTTAGATGGTTTGGGCAAGAAAATGCTAATGATGATTTTCATGATGATAGGCCCATGACCAGTTTAGATATTCTGTGATTTTAGTTGTATGTTTTATGCTCTATTTATAATTGGAAATAAAAGGGTTAATTTCACTTTGCAACTTGAAAGATGTTCGAATGTTTAACTTGTACCCTGAAAGATTTCCATTCAAATTGTATCCTCGATGTCATAAAAAAACTACAATATGGCTTAGACCTAAACTACTATTCATTTTTAGGTCTGAAAATGCAGTTTATTGTCATATTTACACCAGTTATTAGAATGAAAAAGTGAAAGGTAGTTTAGATCTAGTCACATTGTAGCATTTTTATGACATTGATGGTGCAATTTGACAATTGAAATCTTTTAGGATGCATCAAACATCTTCAGACTAAGTGAGATAAAACGGTTCAAGTTGCTTTCTCACCCTCTTGGAGCAAATTCATGAAGCCCTAACCAGTACAAATCCTGTTAAAATGTGATCAGATCAGACTGTTAGCAAATTTTAATCCAATACTACAATTCAAAAAATCACACCAATTTAAAAGAAATTTATTCATTACTTCAGCAAGAAAAGCATCAGCCGCACTTCTTGAAAGAGGAGAGGGCATCTGACCCAGATATGCAATAGGACTAAGCAAAGCAGCTGATCTTAACATGTTCAACAGCTTCTTTTGGGAAAATGCAGAAAATGCAATCAAAGTTCCCTGGAAAGTATGATTGAAATAGAAAAATTAACCATCAAAATCTTCAATTCTATTCAAGGAAAAAAAATATCTTTCCTTTCCACCGAAACGAGCGAAACATGCGGTAATGCAGAATCGAAATTTCAATGATTCAGAATGCTATTGTATGTTTTGGAATACTTCATTCAAATTTAAATCTTTTTTCGAAATTAAAATTCTAACTCAGTTTTGTTTGCGTCTCAAAAAACAGTATTCGAAAATTATTTTTAGGATGAGTTTAGAAAAGTGTGTTTCGATATTTTTTGTGTCACATAACTTGTTTAGTTATATGATTCTAAAAATAATTCTATGGAATAAAAACAGTAAATCTTGTTTGGACATTAACCCAAAAAATAATGAAAACAGAAACGTGGTGATGGTGGGAGTCTTCTGCTGCTAGTGGTGGTGGTGGTGGTTTCTAAATTTTGGAAAGGTTGTTTTCAAAAACACACAAAATAGTCATAACTTGTTCTTTAAATTTACCCATTTTTTGTTCTCAATTTTCAAAAAACAAAAAAAAAACAGTTGGTCAAATAACTTTTCTCCCCGAAACTATTTCCAAAAATAAAAAATAGTTTTTGAGATGCAAATCAAACAGGACCGCTCTATTATGTTTCTAAAACATTTTCTTTTTTTAGCTTACTAAAACTATGCAGGACAACTAAATTTTGATCTTTGGTTCCATGTTGAACAGAAAAAAAAGTACAAAAAACAGATGGATTTTAGTAAAGAGAAGAAAGTTGTTCCACCAAGGAATGCCCAACATAGTGCATTTTCTGCCCTGTTTGATCATGAACAAACCGGAATGAAGCAGGAAGATCATGAGCTACTAGTTCATCCCATGACCATTCCCAATAAGCCTGCAAAAGCACAGAAGCAAAATAAATCAAGCAAACTTCATAGCTTATGCAAGAATGGAAACTAAAGATATATATAAACAAGATAAAAACCGGATCATTGGGAGTCAGTGATGTATGTCCGCGACTATAATTAGTCCCTCTGGTGTTGGCAATCCAAACATCATAACCATTATCGGCCAAGATGAATCCTAAAGATTCATGGGGAGGATTCAGCAGCCATGTTATCCCATCCTGTCAACACTTCATAACTTATCAATCCACATTGTAACTTGAGTTTATATCTGTATACCTTTTCTTAAAATTTTTGGACATAAATACCATAGTTATTTTTCAAATTACTGTTCTTCTCCTAAAAGTGTGTTCGGTGTAAAAGAGTATTTTGAAAACACACTTTTAAAGTTGCTCGCTGAAAAGTATGAAAAGAACGGTAATTTGGTAAAAAAGTTTAAAACTGCAGTATCTATGCGAAAAAAGTTAAGAAAAACTGTGTATTGACAATTAACTCTTGTAAACAAACTGAAAATGTAACAGCAGCGCAGAGTTGTATGTAAGCCTGAGAATAACAACCACCAAGAGTCCATGTTGTAGAAGAACTGGAGGCTTGTCTGCAGCCTTGCCAGACCGCCCCATCGGAATCCTCTGCATACTAAGAATATATCCATCTAATGTTGTTACCTAAAACACATCAAATTTAGTCAATAAAAATCAAGCTGAACATAACATAACTTGCAAAATATCGTAAAACTTAGAACAACAGAGAATTTTGAATATGGTTATTTTACTTTATGTTCTTCGCAAACATAGCCTTGTGTCTCCACCATTGATTTGCAAATACCATCAACAGCTAAGGGTACGCCATCTTGAATGTTGATCGGATACGGGTTTAATCTTGATCCAACTGCTGAACTTGAGAACCAGCATAGAATGAATATTATAAAGGTGTTTATTATGTTAGCCATCTAAATGAAATACAGTTGCTGTTATGACTTACCACAAACAATCATTATTCATCCTGCATTTTATAGTAGAAGAAACCCATGTGCAAACATAATTAGAGTAAAACATTCTTATTCTAGAATAAGGTCATAATCACTCAAACCAAACTAAATTGCTAATTGCTTAAGATTTCGTTTCTGCCACGATTTCTATTTTCGTGGGATATTGTTGGTCTACATGTTCATACTGGGTGATCACCCCACTGAGTGAGACATTTAGGAAGCCTACAAAAGGAACTAATAGAGAATTCGAGTATTGGAAGAAAATGTTACCTAGATTTTGGGTCACTTTGGTACACAATATTGGTATGAGTATATGATATGACACTTTCTTAGGTATATGGTATGATGGGGATAATTTACCTAATACCATATTTTGGGTCGTAATTCGTTTTAGAAGTATTATCTAGATCGTTTTTACCACTATACAACATTATATATCATAAAAATCCATAAATACTAAGTCAGTTATGCTCGATTTTTTATTATCCAAAGCAATATATAATTATAAATCTATATACTTGTAGTTAATTAATATGTATTTATATTTGTGCTACATATACAATTTGGGATTGTATATTTTGACGATCTGAATCTTGAATCCTTTCCATTTGAGATCAATGTACCCATATCGTTGTTTGTTAGAGGTTGAATGAAATCTGGTAACTATGGAAATAACTAAGATCAATCCCTACCCACGAGCCTTGCTGCGCAAAATTAAAACTCAATGCGTCACGGTTTCAAGTCATAGACTAATCTCTCCTTTTACGGGTATATGAAGGTAGAATCTATGTATGAAACCTTACAATGACGAGATTCTTGTTCACCTAGTTGTCCTAAAATAAACTCTTCAGTTGATTAATGGCCACTTTGTTTGAGATGTGAGTTGAAACCAGTCATATCAGCTTAATCCCAAGTAAGAGAAACAACTTACAAGTAGTATCATCTGCTAGAATACTTCAAAACTTTTTATCTTGAGAAATGCATTTTTTTGAAAACCCCCAATTGAGCATTAATATAAAAAATAATAAGAGCAGAGGTAGGAAGCATGTCTCCTTCAAAAATACGATTCACTGACATGTAACATTCTCAAAAGTTTATCATAAATCCAAATCTAGAACGTGATCGAAATGTTCTTATTTCTTAAGGTTGAGGCAATTAGTCATCCAATTCTTATAGCGCCACCTGAATGACAAAGCACGACATGATTCTAAAACGGAAAACTAATCAGTCATCTTCATAAACCCCTTATGTAAAAATAGAGCAAATCTTAGAAACGCATATTTTACTGAGAGCATGATGGACATTCGATTACAATGAAATCCACATTTACAATTTGAGCACGATTTTTGAGAATAAATGGAGACATTTTGGCCAGATTACATACTATAGGAAGGGATTACACACAGCTTGCCTTGCATTCATGCCCTTAACATAATCTTTAAGTTCCTCTCTTTACTGAACAAAATGTTTATGTCACTCGCGATCTTTGAGGCTGACCAGCAAGAGAGCTGCACATCATTGGCATCAGATAGTGAATCCGCGCCTCCATAGCTGAGAAAGAGAGGAGGTCATTTGGTATACTTGTCATTTTGAAGATGGAGGACTGAGCTGCCCATAATGTTCCCGATTATTGCCCTAATCTTAATAATCACAAAATGTGATGGTTCCTTCTCTTAGGACTGTCCAAACAATAAACTGTATTTTTTTTCTTGTGAAAAAGAAATACAGAAGCAATCTCAACTCGTAAAACTAAATCTGTAATTTTCTCTTCTAATGTTTTTAAGTAAACAACAGCAGCATCTGTTCTCGGGTTTCACCTGTTAACAAGCAGGTTGTGTGTCTCCAGAGTTGTGGCGAATAGACACGTCCTTTTGCAATGCTTCTGATGTTCCAACAGTATTTTCTGGCAATTTGCGCTTTAGAATTCCGGGCAATCTGGGTCTTATTAATGGTCTTTGAAGGAACTTGAGGTGCCACCTTTTAGGTTTTAGCTGTCCTAACAGTTTCATCTGCTCCTTTCTGAACCTCCCATTTGCAGACCATTTTCCACCTCGCCAACCCAAGCCATAACTGCAATTAAGAAATAGAAAAGGGGTAAAACTCGGGGGAAATCTGAAGTCTTAAATTCTGCAATTAAAATCAGTGACAAAATTCCTACCACCTATTAGAAAGAATTATGTAATAAGCTCTTAAGCACGTAAAAGAATTCTTGTGTGCGTTTCCAGATAGCATTCTATCTTGTTATTTTTAAATTACAAAGTACATATATCAAACAAACTCAGTAGTAAAACGGAAAGCAGCGTAACAAAACAAACATTTGTTGGTTTTACCTGCATATAAAATTTCGACTATTTTTGACATTTCACGGGAATATAAAAGAGTGAAAACAAAGCAATAACATTCCACCCAGATATAAATTTACAAACCCAAGAATGAAAGAGGTTCCAGCAGTGGCAGCACAAGCTGGAATACTGATACTGCCTGAACCAACAAGCTTTTGGATATCAGTGTGTTCCAACTGAGAAGTGTTTTTCATCTGCCAAAAAGAAAAAGAAACACTACATCTCAGATGCAACATATTACCTCAAAGATAGAAAAAGGAAATGGTAGATACTCTAGCAACTAGATAATAACTCACAAAACAAGCTCGCCAAAATTGGGGAAATAATATAATGCAGACACTGTAAAAATCACTGAACTACACCAGATCATCTAAAAGCCAGTGGCTTACAAGATAGAAACTATGTGTTGCCATTGCCACAATCAAAAGCAAAGAAACCATAAGAACCCAAAAATGTCACATTGGACAAGTTGGTCAGGATTCAGATTTATCAGGCCCTTAGGATCCTATCACAGTGGATCAAGTCAGAACACCTTTACATCTAAAAGAAACTGTTCTCAATAAAACAATCCAGGCTACACACTATACCGCAGGCTGGGGAGAGCTGCTCTGAGAAGCTAGTGATCAACATTCTTGTGGAATTACCGTACCGAAAGCAAAGAGGATACGAAGGGCCTTGAATAAAGAGCAAGATAGTGATGGGCAACCTCAATATGTGTTCCTTGTAATCCACCACGTGAAAAGTACCAGTCTTTCTACAGTATTGGCACAAAAGAAGTTGGTCCTTCACTTTCTATAGTACCAGTCAATATGGACTCACTTGCCAGATCTTCCACTCACCCATTTGAGGTGGACTCAATCAGTCTTTTTGTTTGAAGATTACTCATTCTTCACTATCTTGCTTAAATTTTGAATCTACATATGATAAAAATGACAACGCATACTTACAACAGTATCATGGGCAGGGGAAATAAAAATAAAAAAAGGCAATAGCTGGATCTGTCTCTCCCATTTTGCTCTGTGAGTCATTTTTTCATCAGATGCCAAGCGGTAACAACTTGGGTTTGTGGAGTTGAGAATATATCAACACAAACTAATTGAAGCAACCCAAGGAGGAATCGAAAGGAAAGGGATGAGGAAGGAGAGGGAGGATATAGCAAAGATTGAGCATTCTAATTGTTAATCACAAATAAAGACTTCAAATGCACTGCTGAACAAATTCAACAAAATTTTAATTATATGATAACAAAAAAAGAAAGAGAAATAGTCAATCTGTAGACTTACTCGTGATTTTCTACGAAGACAGCCAGACAGAAATCTGACTAGCTTTTTCCCCAAAACAATGAAACTATGAATAAAAAGAAAATGGCAACAATCTCCAATAAGTTCCACCAACAACACCCAACTTCTACCAGCCTCAAGCCTCATAAACCACTGGTAAAAGGATATCATATTGCATTCAAATGAACAATGATCCACTGAACTCATGGTTACAAAGAGGCCTCAGTTCAGAATCTCGAGATACGAGAGTTTGAACTCCATGCATGAGATAGAGGTGGTTTGATTTAATATTGTTTGGCCAACGAGAAAAAAGGAAAACGAAAAAGGAGCTGCTCTAGAACGGATTTAGAATCTCAGTGAAGATATTGTGGGCCTATTTTAACAGGGATTTGATGAAGTGATCGACATATATGTAGTGTAATCAAAAGCTGAACAACACAACAATCTTAAAGTGAGAATTTAGAAACACCATCTGAGGATTGTGCAATAACTGGCAATTGTGAAATAACACTGTCGTTATGCTAAGACGATCTTAGTAAATAGCCTCTATCCACAATAAAGTGTCAGATGAGGGGTTCAGTGCACATATCACTGAATTCAAAGTGCTAATTCCAACTATGAGAACTCATGAAAATCATAAAGCTGGGATTTAAGAATATATATTGATCAGTTAACAATATTTCAATTTAGCAGCCAGTCTCTCCATCACCATACATTTAAAATTCTAAGCTAGATAACAGGGTTAAAGTTCTATTGATTCCGCAAGCACAATGGCAGAATGTTATTCATCTAGCTCCCAATTTGTTGGGATAAAACTTTGTTGAGTTGAATTGAGATTACATGATATTGCAAGTAAATAACAAAGTTAAGCAAAAAAACTGTGAGGGAAAATGATAAAACATTGACTTACAGCTTTTTCGATTGATTCTAGCCTTTGATCAACTCTTGACTCATGAAAATGGCGTAGAGAATAACCTGCACTATCAGCTCATATTAATTCCAATCATAAGAAAAATGAGTTAGCAAAGAGTTTTCTAAAACGCATAACTTCAGCTACACCCCAAACCCCCATACCCAGGCAAGTGGAAAAAACAAAAGAGCAGAATAAAAAACAAAAAATAAATAACAAAGACCATAGCCACACTGGCCTATATATTTTAGCGATAAGATTCTTATTAGTACTATTACAAAGAAAAATATGGATATCTTACTCTTTTTCCTTTAAGGAACAAGTAAAATCATCAAACATGATGAAGGTGGTCTGCAGACAAGAAGTGATGAAGACTGGATTTAAAATCTGAAAGTCTAGTTGTTTTAGAATGAAACCGTGTTCTTAGGATTAGAGCATGTTCTTAGGAAGGCTAGAGACGCAGATACCGTACAATTTTGGCCGTATTCATAAATCTGAAAAATTCTAAAGATTGTTCGAAAGGTAAGCAGGTTTGTTCGAACAGTGTATTGTACAATGTGTGAAGGGTTACTTCCGGTGCGCTCTTTTCAAAGCACGTCCAAAAGCTGTTCAAAAGCGATTCTGAAACTTGAAATTCCAATGAGAAACATTTGATGCATATTTGAAGATGGTTCAAACTTCAAAACCTGGTCAGTCCGTTTGAATGGTGGCTAAGGGTATTCACCGGAGATAGGACTTTCTGAACGAAATTTGAAATTGAGTTCAGCAAGGGGTTAGTTTTTGGCCTGCATATAATTGGTTATTTTAAGCTAGGAAGACAAGTCTTTTAGAGGTTTTACCGTCATATTGGGGAGAATCTGGAGGATCGAATAACTAAAGATTCTTTGGATGGTGCGATAGTTGGTATTGAAGCAGAGCTTCTTATCCAAAGTATTCATGTAAGGATTCGACAACAACATTAAAGCTGAGCAGCTTCTGTCCACCGTCTAGTTCAATAAGTTTCAAGTCTTAACATTCTCAATAACCCCTTGGGAGTGGAAGAGTTGAAGAGCTTGGAGCTTGAAGCTTGACAATAGCCTGCAAGGAGATCTAGTTGTAAAGCCAAAGGGCTTGACAATAAGTTTGTATCTAGTTTGGGGTTATACAAGAAACAAAACCTCATTAGCGAAACTTCTGACTCCGAAGGCTTTTGCAGTCGAGCTTGAAGCTTGACAATAGCCTGCAAGGAGATCTAGTTGTAAAGCCAAAGGGCTTGACAATAAGTTTGTATCTAGTTTGGGGTTATACAAGAAACAAAACCTCATTAGCGAAACTTCTGACTCCGAAGGCTTTTGCAGTTGAGGATGTGGATATAGGGCTTTTGCAGTAGTGGATGAGGACATAGGCTTAGTTATACCAAACACAATATACCTTGTGCCTCGTCCATATCAAGATTTCATGTTTTTGTGCTTCTTATCTTTGTTAATCATGGATCGACCAATAAGTGTCTGGGCAAACCACTTGTGGGATTTTTTGTCTGCCAAAACTCAAGGGATTTCATACGAACTCTTGATCCCAAAACTGTTTTCATATTGATTCTGATTTAAACCTAGCAACTGATATAAGGGCAATAATTTTGTTTTCCTCTTCACAACAGAACGGTACTGTTTTTATTTGACATTTAGAATTTTTGGTACTATTCCACAAGGGTTCATATAGGAAACATATTACCAATAAACCGCAATAGCATCTTGCTAAAATTCCGTAGCAATCCAATGTAAAATCTTAAAAACATGATATAGGAGATCGCAACTACTTACGGAATCAAATTGAACATACCAAACCATGCTGTTGCAACGGATGCTATAGAAGTGGAGATTGTAAATACCACTTTATGGCTCTCAAAAATATCCTAATATCAAAATCAAACACAAAAATAAGAAACCTAAATAACAAAAGCACACTCATCAATATCGAACTCTGTCAAAACACCAAAACCCACAAAAAAAATAGCCCACCTATTAGCTTAAACTCCAAATAAATCAGAATTAGAGTGAGAAAGACCGTACCTTTGTTGAATAATAAGTGTCCTGAACAGCAGACCAGGAATCCAAAGCTTTTCTTCTCATCTGAGGTACTGTTTGATACCTAATAAACGACGACCCCGAGGTCCGTAGACGCTGCATATTGCTGTATACCCTAGATCCAGTTGATTTTGGACCCTGAAATCAACCCAAATTCCATAAGAGCAATAACTTCTCGATGCGTTTTGCTTTGTAGTGCCTTTTCAATTCGGAGGTTTAGAGGTTTTAGTTTAATTTTTTTGGTTAATTGTAAGTTGCAAGCCGAAAGATAATTTGAATCTCAATTTAGACCTTTAAAGATAAAAAATTTTAATTTATACCCTTAAAGATAAAAAATTATATCAATATACACTCTCAAAGATAAAAAAATCTCAATTTGTACTCTCAAAATTAAAAATTTGTATTAATGTGTACCTAAAATTAATTGATAAATTATACCTAGATTCCCTCATATTTGTCACTTAATCATTTGGATCCTTCACATTTATAATATTACTCTTATATCTCATGGCGTTTGTGCACATGTAACACATAATCCCTTTTCGTTGATATATATTAATATAATCGTTAAAAAAATATGATTTTATCCTAATAAAAAATTATAATTTCATATTATCCTTTATTTCATGGATCCGATATACTCTAAAGTTCAAAATCAAGCTTACCATTTGAATGTCTAATAGAATATAGATATTTATATAATATTATTTATATTCAATGCAATATATTACTTAATGTGCAACCCTTTATTCTATTAGACATTCAAATGATAAGCTTGATTTTGAACTTTAGAGTATATTGGACTCATAAAATGAAAGGTAATATAAATTTATAATTTTTTATTAGGATAAAATCATATTTTTTAAGGGTTATATTAACAGATATCAACGGAAAGAGATTACGTGTTACACGTACACAAACATCATGAGATGTAGGAATAATATTCTAAATGTGAAAGAGTTCAAATGATTAAGTGACAAACATGATGAGATCTAGGTATAATTTATCAATTAAGTTTTAGGTGCACATTGATACAAATTTCTAACTTTGACAGTGAAAATTGTGGTTTTTTATCTTTAGGGGTGCACATTGACACAAATTTCTATCTTTGAGGGTGTAAATTAAAATTTTTTATCTTTAAGAGTGTACATTGATACAAATTTTTATATTTGAGGGTATAAATTAAGATTTTTGATCTTTGAAGATGCAAATTAAAATTCGAACAATCTTTCAAGGTACGATTTACAATTAACCCAATTTTTTTTTTAGACCGAATCTCTTTGATAGCACCAAAAAATCAAACCAGTTTAAGTATTTTTTGAAAATAGGTTAAAATTTTAAGGCTTAACCCTAAAAATATTAGTAATAATTTTATCAATTTCTTGCAAGGAACAAATATGACTTCAATAAATTTTATATTCTTTAATTTTTTAATACTCACTACCATTATTATTGGGTTACTGTCACCACCATTGTTATTATGTCACCATTACTACCACCATTATGCCGTTGTCGCCAATATCGCTACCACCATTGGACCGTTGTCATCACCACCACTTTTATGCCACTACTATCATTGTGTCACCATCACCACTATCGCTATTATCTTTGTGCCGCCATCATTAGCATCATTTGTCACTACCACCAACACCATTGTAACAGAGGGGGAAGAAATTAGGTAGTTGCAAATAGATGATTAAAAAAAAGGAAAATTTAAAATAATAGTAATTTTAAATTTCAATTTTTTATATTTATCAAACAGTTTGTTTAATTCAATACTTAAATTTCAATTGATACCAAATAACCTACAAATTAAAAAATTTAGTATTCAACATTCAAATGTGTTTTATCAAACACCACCTTAATTTCTCACTTATATTTGTCAAATAAACCCTTGTCATTAATGTTCATTTGTATATCCGTTAATAATTATATACATATCCCTTAAATTTGAAATGTATAATATTTAAATTACTCAAGTTTAAAATATGACACTTAGACAAAAAAAATTTCAATTAGAGAATATCAAAATATTTTAAATTTTACAACAAAAATTTATGCTTTATTATGTCATTTATTGAAATAAAATTAAAAATATAATTTTTTTAAACAAAATAATTATAATTAGTATTGTTGATGCCAAAATTTAGATGACCTCCATGTCAGTTTGTTGAACTTTGATCACTTGAAAAAAAAGTTAGAGACCAAATGAGAGTTTTAGGAGTCGACTCTCTGATACCTGAGTCAGTAAGTGACTTAAAGATATGAACTGCATTTAGAAGCTAGAAGTGTCATATTTGGAGCATCTTGGACTAAATGGACTTTTCATCTTAAGTCAATTTTTTCATCATCAAGTATGAACATATGAAATAAGTCTAATTAACACATTTTCTTGTTTTATCATTCGTTGAATATATCAAAGAATTCAATTCAACACTCATTTGTATACAATTATACTTTATATTGGAATAAAACTAAAAAAAATAAATTAGGGGTTAAACTATAATGGAGACAATATCTTCTATCTTTAATTGAGGTAATTTGGTTGTTTAATAAATTCTAGTAATTTTGTAACGAATAAGGGGTCTAAGTTTAAATTTTTTAACTTAAGAGGTCTAAGTGTTACACGCTTACAAATTTAAAATAGTTTATGTATAATAGTTCAAAGGTCAGGAGATATAAGTGACAAACTTCGTGAAATTTTGAGTGTAATTTTCTCAAAAAAATAGTGAGGAATCAAGGGAGGGAGTCGGCGAGAGAAATATGGGCGGAAAAAAAAATTCAAGCCATTGGATCAGATTTAAATAAAATTAAATAAATCGAGACTCCGAAAAACAAAAATCATTTTTATGTCTCAAAGAGATTTGAATTACCTTATACTTTATTATATAGACTAGGGTTAGGATAGCCACACACAAAAAAAAAATTGATATTGTACAACTAACTATAAATTTTGTGATTTCATTTATAATTTTAAAAATCATTTATGAACCTAAAAACTTATATTTCAACTCACAAATTTATAATTTTTTTTGTCGTAAACAAACCTAAGAACTTACATTTCAACTCACAAAATTCATACAAATTGATGGCATGATACTGATTTATTTTTTTTTAAAAGTACCATAATCATCTCCTTTCATACGACATCTTTTCCAGTATAATTTCTTTATGACCATTTATTCTGAGAACAAGGCAGAAAATTAAAGCTACGGGAAAAGGTTATAACTAGCTTGCTTCCAAACCACTCGTGGAGATGTTCAAGGAGTTTTTCCAATGACTTCAGAGGACTGATAGTCAAATGAACTCGAGTGGGCTGATGTTCAAGGAGTTATTCCCACTTGAACTTAAAAAATTTGTTTTCTTAAACGAGTTTAAAAAATTATGTAAGTTTCACCGTTTAAAAAATAAGTCGAACTTAAACGAACTCAAAATGAGGCAAACCTGAATATTTACATATAAATAATTCGAGCCTGTCATACTCGTTTTTTCAGACGAGCCTAAAATATTGTTTAAGTTCAACTTGTTTAGAAAACGAGCCAAACTTGAACAAACAAAAAATGAATTGAACCCAAATCGAACTCAAGTAGCTCGTTTTGATTAACAAACCTACCCCCTGATGCAACCAAACCCGCTGGTTACACAACTGAATGCATTCCAACAGCAGACTTGAATGCACCAACAAAACATAAAGACATAAAAAGTAGGAGGTGGATGCAAAGAGTTATCACATTCCAATCCACTGCCCAGCACAACCCAGTGGCAATGGCATCACACATGAAGGTGAATATATGGAGATGAATATCCTGATATCTTATTTAGCATTCCATATACAACATAATACAACTGATATGTATTCAACAGTGAATGAAGTAACACATGTTTTGTTATCTCAACCCATAGGCAGGCTCGTTCATATGATGTGTTGGTTGAACTTTGGTATCAAGAAAAAAATAGAGAAACAATTAAAAAAAAAAAAAAGAAATTGTAGCATCAGGTCCAAAAGTTTTACTTTCAAATCTTGTTATTTTTCCTATATCAGAATCTTCAATCTGCACGATACCTATGTTCCCTTGATTATGTGGAATTGCACATCACCAATCTTGTACACATGTAGGCTCCTCGATGCAGCAATTCTACAAAATCATCACCACCACCAACAAACCGAGTTTTTAAGCTGAATGCGCAAATCATGAATGGAAGCACTAGCAAGCAGGATCTTTTGCAAGAATGCCAAATTTGGTAAGACATGCAGGAAATTTCATGATAGTAAAATGGGGGTTGTTTTGTTTTAGCAAAACTTATTTTCAAATTCCATTTCAAACACTTGAGTGGTTAAACTATGCTGCACTTCCTATCATTCATACAAATACACCTCTTGGAAACACAATGGGTTCAAAAAAAACAGAAATACGATGATGTAATTCAATAAAACTCACTCAACTTTCCTATATATCAAATGATTGATTGCATGGATAACTGCATTTACCATACAATTCTAGGAAATGATTAGTAGATCAAATATAGTTCAATAACTAACAAATTTTGGGTCAAATCCACTACTTAGAAGCTAACAGTGCCACCTATTAAATAATAACTAAACAGATCCAAAATGAAGGGAAAGGATGCGGACACTGAGTAGAAATTTAGAGTCCACAACTTGTACAATGTAGAAATTAATAGCAGACAAAAACTTGCGAATGCACTCACCAAATAAGCAGTTGTATAGATGTATACCCCTAATCCATCAATTGTAACAGTTAGCCCCAGGCCATGGAACAAGCATAATTGACCACCAGTTTACCATCAAAACCAAAATTCTGCCAATGTTAAAGTAGCAACAATAAATAACAGCGGAAGAAAAAAAAAAGGAACGCCGAGAGTTCATGGTATAATCCAATTGAAGTAATGTACTATCACCTCCCAACAAAAACTAATGGTTCCCTTTGTTATTCCAAAATCAGGACAGAGCAAGTACAAAATCAACGTTAAGTTACATAACAATTTTTTTTTGGTGGGACTAAATCCATGATTTTATTTTATATTTCCACAGAATCTGCACAAGTGGTCAGGGTGGTTACATTATGAGAATTTGCACAAAATGACCAGGGATCCAACTACTTTCTGACAAAACAAAGAGAATCATCAAGGAAAGCGCATGAACAAATGTCATCTAAAGAAAATCTCCGTGTTCCACATTCAAAAGTAACCAAACCATTCAATTCTTTAAAAGAAAGTAAGGAATAATGATTTATAGTCCTGTCCTTGCATCAAAAAACTGTAATGCACAAATTTCGGCATCCACAATTCCCAATCACCTCCCCAAACTTGAATTAGAGGAAACACAATACTTGATAAGAATTATAATACATACACACCCGTGTGGAAATGAAATATTTGGTACTCAATTACTCAGAATTGGCACATGGGCCCAGTGGAAATGAGCACATGGTCCTTAATGGATGAGATACAATTGAACAATTGAAATTTTGGGACTCAGACTGTCAGACCAAACAGAGCTTTTGGAAAAATAGCAACTTCATTGCTGTTTCTAATTCTGATATTGAGCTGGGTACTACTGTACCGAAAGTCGGTCTCCCAGGAGATAAGTTGTGTTGCGCTTACGGTTCTCCAGTAATTAACTGTCCAGCTTTTGCTCATACGTAGATGTGGCACACTAGTGACGGGCTACTGATATACTGAACATACAATGTCCACATAAAAAGCATGCTTATGCATCATTCAGCATAATTTTCAACATGGAACAGACCATCTACTTAGGTATCATTCTTTAGAATGCATCTTTTACGTACATCACGTGCAGATCCACCATAACAAAAATAGAGCTTGAGTTGGATAATCATCTGAATATTTTTTAGAGCTATAAGTATACAAATCCTCCAATGTTTTTTTAAGAAAAAGAGGCAAGTTTGAAATGATATAATAACAAAAACATCATATTCATATAGATATATAAAAAATTGCATATGCACATATATATATATATAGAGAGAGAGAGAGGTTACGCCAACTTACATTATACAGGTCAATCACTAATTCATCTGGATTTGGTGAGAAGGCACTGTTGACATACACAAACTTGGAAAGCAATAAAAAGGAGATCAGTGAAACAAAATCTAATGTAAATATGCATTTTAAAATGACACAATTACATAATCATCTACCAATGTCTCCCTGTGAAGTTGACGACAAAGAAAATCAATCACTTTAATGAACTTGTCTGTCCCAGCAATCTGTTAAATGAATATTATAAACACATTTGCACAGAAAATATTATTGATATTCAGCATTGCCTACTGTGCGTTTTGAAAGATAAACAAAATAGTCATGGATATGAAAAAAACCAATGGCACAGAAAACTTCAGTAATCCTACCTGCTACATTACCATTCATTTCCAACTCCAAATTATGTCCACTCTGGCAGTGCAGAGCATTTTATAGGGTTAAATATAAAAGAAGTTTTTTCCATCAATCATGGGGAATCTTGAAGTTGATGATAACTAAAAGTAAAGCATTGCTTGAATCCATGCTATACATAGATTTACAATTATGCATATGATTTAGGTTTTAGCCTTAGATGCAAACGCAAAAAACTCAAATGGCAACAGCAAAGCAAATGCCACAATGCTTCAGAGATCTTCCAGAATAAGAGTGCTGACACTCGTAAATGAATCATATGCAAAAGGAAAAATTAAAAAGAGAAAAACAAGAGACTTTGAGTCTACTTGACACCACTTTTGCCGTCAATATATTACATACAAAATTAGATAATATGCATTTGCCAGAATAATTTCAAAGCCAATTACTTATTAAAACCCAAGATAAAGAAAAAGGAAGAAACGCATAACAAAAGGAAAAACTCTTCTTTTCAAATCTTCATCAAATGCGCAATCTCTACAAGAGATAATTCGACAATTAAACTGAAATTTAACTGCGATTTGTCGAATTGAACATAATGAACATGTATTCTAGCAATATTAGATGTTTAATTAGAACATCATAAACAAAAGACTACCTTGAACTTGGCTTGCTTGAGAATTGGGGCATCCCCAGTGGCTCTTAGGTGAACAACGACTGCATCATATTAAGCAAAAGATTAACAAAAATTAGAGGCCTAATCAAGAACTCCAATTAATTCACAAACCCTAATAAGAAGACTGACCTTTACGAGCAGCACTAGGAGATTCCGAAGCCATCGTCAGTCTTTGATTGTCTCAAGAGACAAACCTTCTTCGCTTACAAATTGGAACTGATCTGAAATTTCTGCTTCCAGAGCTCTGATTTCTACTTCCGCTTCTTTCTTGGATCTGAAACTAGTCCTGATGGGGAACGAATGAGTTACTTTTGGTCCCAAGATTATGGCCCATTGTGCCGTGATTGTGGATAATGTCGTCGTGAGTCTTGATATTCTTTAATTAGGTACTGGCATGACATGTTAAGGGAGGAGAAGAACAAGATTAGAGATTTAAAATTTGATCAATTCTATATTTGAGAAAAGAAGTAAACTGTTATTAAATTGATCTTTTTCTGTTATTAAATTGATCTTTTTCCCAAAAAAAAAAACATCATGGGCAAGGACAGAACCAAATGGTCCCCCTTAAATTTTCAAAAATATCTTTTATCTGTGTATTTGAAACTTTTAATATATCTCCTTAATTTTTTATAATTTTTTTATATATCTATTGTATTCAAATAATTTTTTTTTTTTTTGGGAGGGGAAAGGGGGACTTGAACCCTTTACCTTAAGAAGACAAAGTCTTCACAAAGCAAGGAGTACCATTGAACCAAATTAAATGGCCTTAATAACCAAATGGTTAATGCTAATCACATGGATGAGTACTTCTTTTACAAACAATGAAATTTGCTAAGATTATTTTGATGACCCAAAAAAAAGAAAGAAAGTTGCTTATAAGATAAACAATGCACTAACGATTAATTGTCAAAAGTATCGTGTAAAACTAATATTTAATATGATAATTTATTCGTAATCACTACATCAGGTCATAAGTAGAAGAATTAGTAGATCTTGACATTGTCACATATTAATTTCTATGATTGTAACTACGATATGTTTTTTTCTTATGAGATATATAGTTATTTGCCCGTACCTGAAAGCACTTTGTAACACGGGAAAAAAAAATTAATTAGAAAAAAAGAGATCTCTTTAAAAGTGAAATCCCCAATCAACAAATTTGTTTTATTGGTATTTTGAAAGAATTGGAGATTCAACTATCCAATCCATACACTTTCTTTACTATATTTTGAGATTCTATTTTCGTTTGCACTCACATTAGGTATACACGCTTCCAGATATGCCTTATTGATACACAAATCTAGAAAATACTTCTTCTCCAACTGATACACCATCTCAAATGCAATATAAACAAAATCAAAATATTCCTAAATTCCAAACATGAAAAGACAATGATATCCAACTATACAAAGCAGGCTCCACCAGGTGTGCAACTCACTATTGCTAAAAAAACTAATGCCAACACTAAATTAAGCATTATATTTCCATTTCCATACTAAAGTAGGCATTAGCCAATGACACGTAGCACAAATGTCACGCCACAGAATATGTCAATGAAGATAATGCAATTTTGAGTTTTTTTTTAGACCAGAATACAATTTAGAGCTTGAGTTCATAGTAACACACAACAACGGTGTGCTACCATAACACCGTTGAATGTCTCAAAGCCCAATCAAATTGCATCTGTGGTGTGTGCATGAGTGTTTTTGGATTTTTACACAAAGAGTTAGCACCAAACAAATTCAGTTTTGCATTAACACTAAACAATGCAAAAATATCAAATTACACCGTATAATACTAAAAAGTCTAAACCAACAAAACACCAGACTATTTTTCAGTCAAAACAGAGAAAATGAATTTATATGACTCTAATATCTGTGAACAAAAAAAAAACTCAGTTTTCATGTGCTAAACATCCAACCCTACATAGCATATGATCAAAAGAATGAATACCAAGTCCAAACCTAAGAAGCCACCGATTTTCAACTCAATTAAAGATATCATCAGCCCGTTCAAAAAACTCTATAACACCAAAAAAGAAAAAGAATCACAACTTTTCCATGCAATACTTGTAACAGCGGATCAAACTCCACATGCGAACAATTGATTGTGGCATGTTGATTGTAGTCAACATAATGATGTCAAAGAATATATGTACTCCACGTAGGCACTTCCGGATAAATCAGTATAAATAATGTATATAAATCAATACAAATTGAACAATTCAAAGCACTTATTTTTTCCCATTCAAATTCATCCCTAGCCACTGCTTATACCAAAAATATACCAAAATATAGCCACTGCTTGATCAGTTGCATGATTTCAGGGCCTATTAAATAAAAGTATATCCGTAATAGCCAATTATTGTTCAATTTCAAGTTCAATTGAATAATTAGAACCCTAATTTGGGGTAGGTTGGATGGGTTGGTGGCTGACGGTGGTGGGGTGAGGAGAGAGATAGTGGAGTGAGAGGCAGAGGGAGACACAGAGAGGGCGAGAAAGGAGAAAAGAGAGAGGTACCTGGTCGATGGCTCTTGGTGGTCCACAGAGGAGGTTTCGATGGTGGTTGCCGCGTCACCGTATCTGGATGAAGTCAACGGACATCTGCCTGGAGAGAGACGAAGTTTGGGCGGGGGAATGAAGAGAAAGTGCGTGAGAAGCGTCGGATCTGCCTGAAGGGGGAGAATCGTTAATCCGAATCTATACATTATATTTAATGAATTTGAATTTAAATATACATTTTGATCTGAATTATTTATATAGTTTTATATAAATATTAAAAAATTTAGTTATAATTTGTCAAAAATTAGTTGGACCTAATCAGTCAAAATTGAAGTAATTGATGGCCAAAATCTTCTGTACAAGGACACAGCATCCCTCAATTTTTTCACCATACCAATAAAGAATTTTTATACCACCAGACGGAATGATGTGTTACATGTCCACGTCAATTTTAGAAATTAACATCGATCTCCCAACATGTGTCAAAATTGAGTAAAGTTTATTGAAAAGATTATTTAAAACGTTAATCGCAAATTACACCTTTAAAGTATTAACGCAGTTCCTATTTGGTCTCTAGAGTTTTGATTTGTATAATTTAATTCTTAAATTATTGATTATGTTTGAATATTTATGTCCATATTAATCATAAACTCCCAACGAAATAAAATTAACTTAAACTTGGCAAAAGGGCATTCTTGTCCAATTTCACCATTTTCTTTGCCTCAACCAAAACCCATTATAAAGGAAATAGTTTAGTTACCAAAACCCATCAGGAAGGAAATGGTAAAATTGGACAAAAATGCCCCTCTATCAAGTTACTCTAAGAACAACTCCAAAAGGCCATCTAAAATTCCCTTTTTAGCTATTTTATATAACTTTTCCTTAAAATATGGCTCTACCAGACTAGCTATTCTCCTATCTATTTTTATGACCTCATTTTCACTAGCTAGCCACTTCTCCCTGACTATTTCAGAAGTTGTTGGTCTAGAGTTTGGATGAGGCGATCGATGAAGAGACGATGACATCTAGTTTGATAAAATTCGGAACCTTCAGAAGTTTTCGATCAAACTCAAAAATTTTGAGGTGATTTTATTTTGGATTTTATGATTTTATTTAAGAGAATTTAGTTTGGGATTAATAATTTTCGGGAGGTTGGTTCTCTCTTATAGCCTGTAATTGATTAAATTTGTACAATAAATAGTTGAATTGCTATTTTATAAATTTTATTATTGAAAGTTAATTAAAGTTAGTTAAAGTAGTTAGCTAAAATAGATAGCGTTGTTAGAGTGAATTTGAAAAATGGTTACATAAAATAGATAATACAATATTTAAATATATTTTGAGTAACTATTTTAGACAGTATTATTGAAGATATTCTAATTTCATTACGTGTGTGTTTGTGACAAATCTGGACGGAAATATGTCATCGAGACACAATCAATATTTTAAAGATTAAATTATGCAAACTAAAAACTTCAACAACTAAATAAGAATTTCAGCATCACTACATCAACATTGTGATTTCCGATTCACCCTTATTTAAACTCTCACGAGCCCCCCCCCCCCCCCCAAAAAAAAAAAAAAAAACCCGCAAAAAAAATTATGGTCAAAATATGATGTCAAACACTGGAGGTCAAAGTATCGAAGAACACGTTCAGATTTTTCACAATACATTTTTCTTCGATTTCATAGAATGGTATGTCACGCGTTACACATTGAAATAGAACCCCCAACTTTAAAAGAATAAGGCTATTAGGGCAAGTTCAAAGAAACACAGACAATATAGAACATTTTAAAGGATTTTTAAAACAAACATAAGGCTTCATTAAAATGCAAGTAGTTTCAGGCTAAGAGATTTGTAGGAATTGTCAATTGTAAATTGTGATACAATAAATTAGTATCTCCATACCCACGCAAAATAAACACGAAACTTTTCCAAACAAGGCAAAATTAGGATTAAGTAGGACGACTAAAAGTCTAAAATCACTAAGAATCCACAATAACAAAAATATATTTAATGCAACGGTGACTCCACGTCATCACTATTATTTAGTATCACCAATCAAATTTATGAATTACTATGCAGGACTAATAGATCTCATCAAATTCTATAGCTATTAATAACTTTCATATTCATTTATTTATTTATTATTGGTGAGAAGTGAAGTGACGAAACCGTAACCTTGGATATTTACTCTCAGTCACATGTGCAAATAAGAGTTTATCATTAAAAAAAAAACATATCAACATGGAGTCCCTACCAAGCATTATCATCATCCACCTCCACTTCTCTGTTCTCTCTTGATCTGATCTTCTTACCCATTTTTTTTTTTTTGATTATCTGATAATCTCTATGTTCCAAATCCCCTCAATAGTGACTTTGCTCTTATCCAAAATGGATCAATCACATTTGTTTATAAATACTCCCAATTTGAAAAATTACAAAAGAATATTCTCAAATTCCCCAACACAATACCAATTAAAGATAACATCAAACCATGCTGCCAATAAGGAATTCAATCAAACCTTTTAACAGTAAGTAATTCAATCAAAAAAAGGCTTTTGATATCCTTTCAAGGTGAATCCAAACAGCATTCAAAACAATGGATCTTTCATCATTAATCAAATCTTTTTCATTCTTTTCTGTACACAGAAACAGAAGGAAAAGCACAGAAAATGGGTAAGAAGAACAGATCAAGAGAGAGAAAACTCACTCAAGATCAGATCAAGAGAGAGAAAACTCAAGATCAGATACAATATTTTGTGGCACACTTACAATCCTCTGTAATAGGATCTAAACTTCAACAAAACAGACAATATTGTTGTTTCATAAGCCCATAAAGTTGAAGCAAACCCATATGGCATAAGGACTTGTACACCCATCTACATTGAATCTAACAAAGAACAAAAAAAAAAAGGAACCAGTTTCTCATCAGCCAATGATAGAATTTTCCCTTCGTAATTTTCGATTCAAGAAAACGAAAAATAAAAGCAAATCAAAGGAAAAAAAAAAAAACCGAAATCTTTCAAAATCACCGTGGTCATGATCACCAAGAATCATAGGCATAGAGCAGTGGCGTGGAAATCATCAGCTTCAGCACCGTCAATCTCATCCAAAGGCGGAGGCTGGTTCAGATCAAAGGGTAAAGGCTTGTGAAACGACGACGTCTGATCTGCAGCCAAATCGTCAATCACCGATGACGATGAGTCACAATCGCTGTGGCAATCATCCGGCGGCACTGGTGGCTTTAACCGGCGTTCGATTCTTATCCGGGGCGGTGGTGGATTCGAGGGTCTTGGCCCACTAGACGACTCCAGGGTCGAACTCAAACTGCTCGACGTATGGCGTGAATGACGAAACTGTTCAAACATTTGAAAACGATGTTGATCTCTGTGTTGATTGTTCTCAACATTGGGGTTTTCTTGAATTGCAATCGGCAATGATGGGAAATTGGTTTTTGTTTTGGGGCCGCGGAGTGACAGTGCGGCGGCGTCGTAGGCTCGAGCAGCGTCCTCGGCGGAATCGAAGGTTCCAAGCCATACTCGGGTCTTCTTCAACGGGTCTCTAATCTCGGCGGCGAATCGACCCCATGGCCGCTTCCGTACGCCGCGAAATCGTTGCTCTTTTTCTGGGTTTCTCACAGATCCTGATCCGATCGCTTTTACCGTCGCCGTCGCTGTTGCTTTTCCTCGTCGCATCGCCTTCAATGAAGGAGGGATTTGGGGAAAAAAAAATCGGGAGATCGTAGGAGATGGTAGGTGGGGGGTACTTAGGGTTTTATCTGTGGAAATTCTTGGCTACCACCTCCTTATCTATTGTTAATCTTGTTGTCTCTCCATCTCTTCCTCTGGTTCGTTTCTCTCCCCTCTTTTTTCTGGCCTTCGAATTTTCTCTCTCCTCCTCCACTCTCTCTCTCTTGGGGGGTTCTCTTTCTATCTCCGCAATGGAGAAACCGGCTTCATTGTTTGGTGAATTATTTTTCTTCTTTCTTTTGTTTTTTATTTGTTGTCGGATATGAAAATTTTAGGATTTTTACACTTTGAACCCCAAAAGATATCTTAATCATTAATTTGTACCCCAAAATATTATTTTTCCTCATGATCATAGTATGAATAGTTTTTTGAAATTGTCAATACAATGGAATGAAATGATTAGATCTAAGGAATCTTTTCGTTTTCATTATTTCATAGCATTTTTTGATTCGTTATTACACCTCGAATATCACAAATTGATTTTAATGTAGCCTTCAAACTAAAATACGTTTAAAATTTTATTAAAAATTGATGCACATGCCATCCGAGAATATGAATAGTGAGTTTATATTTTTGTTCAATTGCAACACTCATAAATAGCATGTGCATCAAATTTTAAGGGAATTTAAAATGAATGTTAGTTTGAGGGCCATATTAGAATTAATTTATGATAATCAAGGTATAATATTAAAAAAAATAACCTTTCAAGATATAAAATAAAAATTAAGATATTTTTTTGGGTGTAAAAGGCGAAAAGTCCAGAAATATTTAGCCGGTGAATGTGGCCTCTATTGTTTCAATATTTATTTTTGACAAATTACAATACCACCCCCGTGACATTTAAGTTTATTCTCCAATCATCACTTAGTATTTTTATTAATTATAATGAGAATTGATTATCTGATCAACAGTAACTAAATTTGTTTTTAAATAAAATCCATAATTTAGTTAAAAACATCCAAAAAAATTTATTGTTGTAAAATGATTTAGAAAAATTATAAAATACACTATTAAAATTATAAACATGAGTACGGTAGTCTTCTCATGCTTTTATGTAATAATCAGTCCTGTCTCCTGTGCAGTCTCATCAGGGTGGGGGTTGGGGTGGGGGTGGGGGTGGGGTTCTCCATTGTGAGGTCAACCACAAATGTACATTCCATTTAATGGCTATTTGGATTGCAGTCCCAATTCGCCGTTGACATCAATGCACCAGCGGTACCGTGACAAGTGATTTGTGGCCATTAATTTGCAAAAAAACTAAGAAAAAATCATTATCATATTGATATTTATTATATTAACAATGAATTACGCACGTGAATAATTTTGTATATAAAATTAATAAAATATGTTATTTATTTATCAAATTTATTTTTTCAGTGCACATATTTTGTTTTAAAATTATGAAAATTTTGTATGTTCATAAAATTATTTATTAATTTTGTAATTGAAATTGATTTTTTAGTGATGTTTAAAAATTAATTTTTTTGAAATTTATTTGATTAGAATTCCACTTCTTTGAATAAAATAAAAGTAATTGTCAATATACTAATTATTTTGAAACCTTACTATAATTATGAATTAATTAGTGCATTGAAATAAAATTTAATATACTAGTCTATAATATATATTATCAAGCATAATAAAATTTTAAAAAATTTAAGTTTTACTTTAAAATCTACTATAATTTATTTTCACTTAAAATATTAATATAAATTAGAAAGTTTATTATGGCCGAAGAATTATATTGATATAACATAAATTGATTTCAAAAAACTATATATACGATTATTTTTTATCTTAGAAACAAAATGGTTAAACATTTTGATGAAAAAGAAAATTGACATGGAGACATAATATTATTTTTGTATATGCGATGAGTAATATTATATTGATGGAATTTTTGAAAATTATTTTTAACATTTTATTAAAAATATAATGATACATATTATTTTAGGGGTTATATAGTCAACTCTTTTTTTTTTTATTTTTTTATAGAAAGTGATATTTATAATAAGGAATAAATAATTAAAAGAGATGTTAGAGAAAAATAACATCCCAATTAAAAGAAAATGAACGAAGGAAGACGACCCGATACGTTCCCAAGTCTAAATCCATGGTGCAAGACTCAATGCCATTTCGGGTAAGCAGTTTGAGTTCATGGTATAAGGGCTTGGACCGACTTGCTGGCTATGGATAGATCCTTTACAACCCTGTCAGATCATGTTTTATGGGCCAATGAAACTTGATCCACAGTGAGTGGCCCATATGGGCCCAAGTTTTTGTTAATTATATACTCTCACGCTGTAACATGATTACAAATCGACATGGCATTAATATGTTTTGGTTGGAGGCTAATTCTCTTGAAGGCACATATGGACTGTCATGTCATTATTGTAATTAGAGTAATACTATTCTAACCTAATTTATTTATTTAATTTGTTGGCATAATTCACTATATCATTAGATTGTCTGTGGATATTCGAATTTAATGTTAATTCAACAATTATAATAAAATTATATTATTAAACTAGCATATTAAATTGAATTTTTAAGACTAAATAACATTACTCTTATAATTATTATTTGACTTCTTTTATGTTTGAAAATGTAAAAGTCATTTGCTAACATGCAACACATGGTTTCAAGAAAACCAAGCAAACTGTTTTGAAATTTATATTATACTATATAGCAAATAAATTAGGTGAGAGGGACGTTGGGAGGTATTCTCTCCTTATTCGTTCTACACCAATTTTGAAGAAGCAAATTTGTCCACAATGTTTTAGTAGATAGTAAATTTTTTCTAGTGCTATTCATAATCCTAGGGGGTCTATGAGCAAAGCCGGGGTAGGCTCATAATTTTTTTTTGAATTAGACTTGAGTAAGATAGGCCTAAGCCCTTACTCGGGCGAGTTATTAGGTGGGCCAAGTCGGGCTTTGGGTAGGAGTAAGCTATTTGTCACTCATTGAGCGGACTTTTTTTTATATATATAAAATTTCATTTAAAAAGATTTTAACTTAATATTTTTGTAAATTATATTTTTGAATTAAAAGTATAGACAAAATAGATAAAAAAAAACAATGAATAATTTTATTTAAGAATAGAGGAGAAACTACATAACAATAGAATGATCAAATAGCAATTAAGTTTATATATTACCAATTTACCACCAAACTTTCAAAATTTTAATGATCAACATTTTTTCAAACAATTGAATGGAAGGGGCTTGGCTGGGTGGGATCTTGGGCCTGGTTTGAACGTTTTTTTATGGCAGGCTCATGGGCTGGATTTTGGGCTAAACAATGAATATGAGAACAAGTTCAAACTCCCTCTTGATATTAGGCTTGTGCTTGCCAACTATTGATTCTATCAAACTTCGGGCTAGGTGTGGGCCAATTTGACCCATGAACACCCCTGCAAAATCCTAACTCCTATCACGTGTAGGCAGGCACGAGATTTTATCTCTTTTTTTTTTTTTTTTTTTGGGGGGGGGTGGACTCCATTAACAAAATTTAAAATTTACAAAAATAAATCAAACAAGTTAATGATATTCAATATAAATTATGATCTCGACAAAAACAAAAGATGAACCAAATGAATAGTTTTTTTTATTACATATCCGCGCAAGACGTCTATCAAAGTGGAACTTGATATTCTTTTTATCATAGAATCCATCTATGTTGAATCCGTGCTAAATTAATTAGCAAATTTTTTTTATATATACAAACCTAATTATATTTTACATAAAAAAACAATATTATCTTAGATTTAATTTTTCTGACATGAGATAAACAATTAAATAAAAAATAATCATAGATTTTGCTTTACGATATCGCACAGAGAAACATATATTACACTTTCTCCACATATAAAATTTTATCAAGAATAAAATCGATAATAATTTCAAAACAATGATCAGTTAATCAGGTTACAAAAAATAACTCGATTATGTTTCCTTCCCTCATAAATCTACCTAGGGGCTATGCAAATGAAGTTGAGTAATGTTATATTAATTAAATTTTAAATTAAATTTAAAACTCAAATAAGATGACAACATATTATTTAAAATTTTTATCGGAGACTCAAATAACATAACACTAAATAAAAAAATTTAAATTAATTGTCATATTATTTAATTTTTAAATTTAATCGGTATAACATTATTGAAGTATGGAGGGGCCATGGCCCTCAGGCCTCCCTTAAGTTCCGTCTCTGTGTGTAGAACAATTAATGAGGCGGTCAAATTTGACCCGTTTTCAATGTTCAAATTTGGAAAAAGCAGAAGGCCTTTTTGGAACCAGTTCCACTCTTTCTCTCTCCCGTCTCGTGGAATCACAAGCAAAGCAACCAAACAAAAAAGAAAAAAACAAAAAAGTACGTGGCGCACAGCCCCCGCAACCGCAAGCATTAAAGACCAACCCCACCAAAACAGAGTCCACACAACTCCCACCCAGCCCCCAGCAATAGCATATTCCTCCGAATGTGCCTGCCCTTTTATAATGTACCTTTGTTTATAAACAAAACAAATCTCTTTGTTTAGTAGTATTATAATATTGTTCTTAAAATTCAAGAATAAAATTTTCAATTTTTTTATGAATACATACAATTTTAAATACATACATATTTTAAATATATTTTATCCAATAATAAATTTATTTGTTGGTACTTAATTTCCATATTCGCTAATTTGCTACTACACGTATTAACATTCATGAGAGGTGTTGCTTGTCCACATTGCTGGCCATAAAGGGGATATACTTTTCAGTATTATAATAAATGTTATGTTTTGTTAGCAAAAATAAGAAGAAGAGAGTAAGGCCATTTGTAACATATTTTATTGTTCTAACCCTATTTTAGGGCGATTTGTATTATACACACACCGAAAGATCCAAGAATTCTCATTTTATACTTTCAAATATAAGTTTTTTTATATTGCTAAAAGTGTTACAATGTGATTTTTCTGGTAGTTTTTGTTCTTTTTTGAGTAAATTATACTTACACCCCCCTTAACTATCACTTTTTTTCCACTTTCCCCCCTTAACTACCAAATTTCTCACATTATGCTCTAAACTAACACTTTTGTTTCACATTGCCCCAAAGTTTTGTTATCTTTTTGGACGAAAATCCCTAACATGTCGGAGTAAAACGAAAAAAAATTACATAATTTGGGGGGTAAAATAAAATAATTTTAATTTTTAAAGATACAAAATGTCTTAAATTTTTTAGGGTTTAAAGAATGATTCTCCCCTTACTTTAAGAGGAAAGACATTATTAAAAGTTTATTATTTATATGATCAATAATTATAAATAAATAAATAAAGATTAAATTGACGGTGAAAAATGACTTTGGTGGGAATAATGTATATTAATCTAAATGAACGGTTTGTGTCAATTTCATAGTGGGTCATTTTAGTGACCCACTAACCCCCAAAAAAACAAAAAAGTGCAGTAAGGATGGTAAGGTGGCAGAGTACAGTAACAACCCTTCTCTACTAGTCAAGAGGCGGTAGAGAATTTTTATCTCAATAATAGTATATTAAGATATTTTTACACATATAATTCGCTCTATTGCACGTTCACAATAAACAATATTACAGTTAATAGGTGACGCTCTTGGATGAACAGTGGGGTATGCGGAGCGTTGAGAGTGAGTGACACACACGAATATAACATGCGCGTGGAGCATGCACCCGTTTTCATTCTTGGCCTCCCAAATTGTATTGTTTTCGACTTTTTCAAAACATGGAGCTCATCCGGGCACAAGCATATCAAACGAATATACCGTGGTCGCCACCATATTAATATTATTATTATTATTGTAAAATGGTTGTAATTTTATTAATTTAATTTAAAATATCTGCGAGGAGAAGAAACATGATGAAAATAGATGTTTTTTCCGATCATAAATTAAACATTGAAACAAAACGAACATTATTTTAATTTAATTTATTAAGATAATTTATTGAATTATTCAAATTGTGATTTTTAATAATAATTAGAACCCATTATTGATTCAATGTCAAATAAACTAATAAATTTCATTCAAATAATACACGATCAATTAGTCGTATTAAATTTTTTCAATGGGACCAACTGATTCAATGGTAATGTAATTTTAAAATAAAATTTTAATATTTAATGAAGTATTGAATTACACGAGCAAATTAGATCGAAATGGATTGCTCTACTCTTTTTTGATTTAACCATGGGAGTCGGCGCCACCAGACTCTATAAATAACTGTCAAATCCAGAAGGTCCTCCAAGTATCAGAATCTTCAACTTCCTCTCTCTCTCTCTCTTCTCGATTCTACCTCACTTCGCTATCATGAAGCTAGACACAGTCCATGAAGGCGGTGGCTTGTGCAGAACCATCGAAGTAACCGTCGTCCAGCGCCAGGCACCACAACTTCCACCGGTAACAAAGTTCTCTCCGGTGGCCGACGAATCGGAGACCACCGGCGAAGAGCTTTATATTCCGCCTCTCAACTTCGCAATGGTCGATAATGGCATTTTCAGGTCTGGTTTCCCTGACTACCCCAACTTCGCCTTTTTACAAACCCTCGGCCTCCGTTCCATCATGTAAGTCATTATGTGCCCTTGTATTTGTGCTTTGGAAGTGTTGAAGCTGTAATGTTTGAAGAGAGAATTGAGAATTTTTGGGTTCTGGTGTGTGCCTTTCATGTTTCAGATATCTGTGTCCGGAACCGTATCCGGAGGCGAACATAGAGTTTTTGAAGTCGAATGGGATTGAATTGTTTCAGTTCGGGATCGAAGGGTGTAAGGTACGGTTTTTTGTTTCATTGAATTGGCTTTTTTTATTTTTTATTATGATTCTACTGGTTTTTCAGTTATTTGGCTGACTTTGGTTTGTGTCTCTCAATTGTGTTGGGTCAGACAAGTTTGTGTTGAGTTTTAGTGGGTTTGTGTGAAAAAATACTGTATTTATGCCCAATTTGTTTATTAATTCTTATCTAACAAATCATATCCTATTGAGTTCATGTTGTATATAAATCATATATAATTGATATATAAATGAATAGTGTCGTATATTTTTTATTAGCTTCAATTATACACGATTTCTTTATTAATTGTGTTGTATAAGGTCAATTCATTCACGAAACATGTAGCTTAAGAAAAATTCAAACCCTCTAATTTACCGTTTTATTAGTGTCCTCTTAGCAGAAGGTGTAATATTTTGACACCCTAATACTTTGCATTATCACACCTATTTGATTTGATTGGTCGAGGTAGGTAGAGAATTTGAGAACTGAGTCTCTTGTGGGGGTATTTGAGTGATCAGCAAAATAGTGTGTTTTACTTCAATCACTTGAAGCTGTTTTAAGACTTAAAAAAAATATGGTATGAGAAGCAAGACTTTGGGCATAATTTTTGCAAAATTGGATTCGTAAGAGCCAATTAATGTTTTTTCTTTCTGTCAATTTTATCTTTATTTTTACACTTAATCTGAATTTTTTGTTTAATTACGTACTTAATAGTTTGTTAACAATGAAAAGTGTGGTGACATGAATCAAAGTAGCTCGGGCGAACTTTCCCAAAGAAAGAAAGCCCCAGTTCCAAAAGTAATAAAAAATTTTGATTTATGCACTGAGTTCTCGGATATCATGCCACCGCAACTATGGAGAGCTCTTCCTCCCCGAAGGGCTATTGATCATCACGAAATTGAGGTGGTACAGCCACCAGTTTTTAAATAAAACTTATGCAAATCTATTATCGGCCATAATTTATGCAATAAAAGGGCACAATACTTTAGCAATTTTGATAGAAGAAATTATTCATTACCTTTGCAAAGTTCTGATAATCAAAGAATAACATCGATATACAATTGGTTGTTATGATCACACTTACTTATTGGTAAATTGATTCTGGAATTTCTAGTGGGTAAGTAAATGCTCAAAAGTAATGTCTCAAGCATTTTTATGCTGTCGAATTTGAAGGATGTGAGGTTTATTTCGAGTAGTGTATATATATATGTTCTTATATTTTGTGCCCTTAATAGTTTGCGAGCTTTAAGTAATATTGTTAAAGCTATATAAAGTTGAAAGGCGAAGTTGGTACCTTCTCTTTTTAGTGTTAAAAGGCGGTTAAAGTTGGAGCAACACTTTAGTTATATTATTATTCAATTGTAAAATGCTATTTGGATCTAATTTGAGAACTTAATCAATTGGAGTTATTCGATTGAAAATTTGCTCCTCCACCCAACCTTGGATCTCCCTATAACATTGCTCCATTCAATTTTGTTAGTCTGCCTACTTTTCTAGATTTGAGTAATCTTTCAGTCTTGAATATTGATTTGAATGACAATAGGGGATCGAAAATCTTACAGAACGATGGTAGGAGTTATAATAATTTGATTTCAGCAACTAAACTTTTAGTTCTCACAATTTTGGTCGTTACATAACGTCATTGCTTGAATTTTGGAAGAATTTCTCTTACAGGAAGATTCATTAGTTCTACTAATCAACATCCCAAATTTTGTGCCCAGGAACCTTTTGTGAATATTCCAGAGGATACAATTCGTGAAGCACTAAAAGCAGTCCTTGGTATGATTATTTATTCCAAGTGCTTTGTTATTTAATTTCTCGTGAAAATTAAAGTGTTGAGAGTTATTATTTAATTAATTATCTGCATCACAGATGTGAGGAATCAGCCGCTGTTGATCCATTGCAAACGGGGAAAGGTATGCGTTTATTAGTTCGCTTGTAACATCCTCCCAATGTTCAGAGTATTAAAGCCTTGACTTTTGAATAGGTAGTGATTGTTGTTTGCTCTCGTTGTGCAGCATCGAACTGGTTGTTTGGTGGGATGCTTGAGAAAACTGCAGAGATGGTGCCTAACTTCAGTTTTTGACGAGTACCAGCGCTTTGCAGCTGCCAAAGCTAGAGTTTCCGATCAGAGGTTTATGGAGTTATTCGACGTGTCTAGCTTCAGGCATCTGCCAATCTCATTCTCATGTTTAAAAAGGTAAACTACCTATAACGTTGAAAAGCTTTTGCTTCCTTCGATTATTCTGAAGAAAAAGTATCTTAGTTCCTGCTTTGGATTGGAATAAACTGGAAAACTGCGATGATTTCCTGGAATGCATTTCACCCGTGAAGCGCTAATAAAAGTATTTATCAGCATCTCTTTGCTTTGAGGTCCCGCCCCCCAAATTTTTCTTGTCCTCCTTTATTCTCTATATTCATATCCTAAGCGGCTTTTTACCTACCTATGTTTTGCTAAATAAAAGTGATTGATGTCTGTGTGGTTGTATCCCCTTTTAAGTGCCACAGCATGGTCAAGAGCATTTAGTACAATGCTGATATTATATTTGTGATACATATCTGGATCGGAGCTCTTTTCTTTTTCCTTTCTTTCTTTTCGGGGGTTTAGTTGGGGGTAAGGCATGTTCATAGCATCTTTTATCTGTTGGGGAAACCATCAAAACGCGCGTAAACAAGAGAAATCCTCAGATGCTTCTTAACAAAGACTTGGGAAATAGTTAGACTTTAGTCTCGCTAAACTGTTAGAAAAAAGTCTAACTAAACTGGTAGAAACAAATCGGCAATCTACTCTTTGTAACCCTACATGCTGATGGACTATACGACTTGGTGGTTTACCTATACTGATATTTTACCAATTAGCTTGCCATACTCATTTTCTCGCCTTTGATTTTCACTTGCATTTATTGTTGTTCTTGGGGGATCATATATTTATACCTAAGAGGTGGCCAAAAATAGGTCCCATTTCACGGGGTTAGATTTTCGGGTTGTCTTATATTCAAGGGTGACAACTTAATTCAGTTTTTTTTTAGAACTGTTGCAGTAGTGTAAGTCTCGTTCACCTGATTATCTTGTAAGTAATGAAATATCAATAATAAAATAAATGCATCTCTATTCCAAAAATGATGACAAATTTAAATACTTAAAAATATTCTTCGGAAACATCAAAATAGTTGCTTATACTATAGATATAATCTGAACTGTTCAAATACTAATGTCTCTGATTTCTACCCTGCCGACAATTCCAATCAATAGATTAGTTTGTGCAACATTCCTCTTCAAATATGAACCTTCATATTGTCACATAAGATTAATAGTCAAGTTAAGTTACTTAAGTTCAATTCGAGTTTGGTTCTAAATTATTTTCTAAATGAATTGAGCAACTTAAACAAATATTTTAGACTTGTTTTCTTAAAAAACTTAGCTCGAACTTGTAAAACTCAAGTTGTTTATATTTAAAATAGTAAAACTACTCAAGGTCAGCTTATTTTGGGCTCGGCTTGAATTTTAAACGATCCAAACTTAAAACAATTTTTCAAATTTATTTAAAAAATTGAATTCGACAGGCTTGACTAAATTAATGGCCTTATTGTCACTTGGTAAAATGGTGTTGTTTTGGGGAGAGGGGGAGGGGAATGAAAGAATGGTCTACCTTCCAGTTACCAAATCTCTCACCTACCCCAAAATTGGAGAAAAGAGGTAAAAAAAAAAACTGTGCCCTTAAACATAGCTTATAAGTGGAAGAAGATGCGATGATTATATACGAGCAAATTTTCTTTCATTCCACTTCATCCATACAACACACGAAAAACAGAAATGCTTCTTACTGCAGGGACAAATGGAACTGGAATTGATATACACTAGCACTTGCAGAATTGAATCAGCATCCTGCGTTGGAACAAACAGTGCATCGATAGAACCTTGCATTCATTCCACAGTTCACTCTTCACAGATATCAAATAAAGGCACAACAATGGCAACAAAACTAATTCCATGGTCTCAACCAAGTCTCGTGACAGCAATCACTTAAACAGGAAGAAAAAAAAAACTATATTTTGAAGCACATATTGAAGCTTATTCCAATAAATCATAGTCAGGAACACATAACTTTACAAAGCAAAGATACAGATGTTATTAAGTAAAATGAAGTATACATGATGCAATAAAGCCTGAAGCAATTATTATTACTTGAACCCGTGTTAGAAAATGTTGGTTTTCACCTCAGGAGCAACCTATCTGGAGTTTAAATAAAGTCCAGTCTACCTATAAGACCCAAAAAGCTATTGACAGACTTTCCAAGTGAACGTCAAACCTTGTATCTTCTTTCCAGATTCCTATTATTTGATCAAATGTGTTGAAGTGAAGCAAAACTTTCTGTCAATGCCCACAATTGAGGTTCTGACCAATATGGCGTTGATAGAACTCCTCATTTCTGTCCTATATGGTGTTGATAAATCTCGCCTCATCACCAACTCTTCTGGGAACGAGGAATGAAATTCTAGTTTTGTTTCAAATTTGTGTCTTCAATGGAGCTATAGTGAACCGGCCCAATCTGGAGACAAAGCTATACAACACTGAAGAAATAAACCAAATTACCATCACATAAAAGTAAAAGCCAAATCTCCAACCTTAAATGTGGTTGTATTGTAATTTTGCAATTTGAGGTGAAATCTCAGCGCAATCGACCTTTTCCAGCAGAGTTGCATCGCTACCTTTGGTTTTTTTTTGGGAAGGAGGGGGGCAATCAGACATTATGGTTTACATTCTAACCAAAAATGGGGGGAAAAAAAAAGTAATCAAGAATCTGTACACGGTGAATCAGAATTTATGCAGGAGGACAAGAAGCAAAAATCTTACAATATCAATTTCTTGAAAATCAGCACTGCGGATCCAACATCTGCATGATGAAAACTGAAAAGAATATAATATAATGACTTATGCATGAGTTGCAGTACAAATATGAACATGCAGGTAAATATACAATTACTTTTTTACCAGCCATCTAAAATATGAAGCAGCAGAAACTACAAAGGGGACAAGGGTAGAGCACAACATCCAACAGTATATTTTTCACCCTTCATTTATATCTTTTTGAAAAGATCAAACTGTAAACTATAATTAGAATGTTATTAGTAAACAAGAAGATATGCATTCACCACATTTCCATTCCCACCTCCAATGGTCCGCAGACAAGATATCACCTAATGAATGAAGAAGGAAAACATGGAACTAACACACATTTTGGTCATTCTATCTATATCTACAATTGTGACGTCACACCCCCAAAAAACAAAAAAGAAAGAATAGAGAAAAGAAAAAATCCAATATCCTCAATTACTTACAAATCTGTTTAATGCTCGAAGGGAGATCTGCGTCAAAATATGAATAGCATTTGCCCGAATAACCTGAAACGCAAGCCACACAATTGTATCATATATCTGCAGCACAAAGTGACAAGGGCCTTCTAGTCGGTCATAGTAAGTTCATCAACCACGCAAGGGCAAGGGTGGAATCAGAGTAGAAGATATTGCTACACATACGTAACATTTCATGCTAGCATGTTAAAGCATGTATAGTCTACCAGTGAGTGTAAATAAGTAAAAATGACCACCAGTAAAAGTGTATATAGTCTTGGATAATTTCTGCTCTATCACAGGTCAAAAAGTAAGTATGTCCAAATCTAGAGTCTACTTTTCCCCTAATATCAGCAGGAGCCAGGCTTTGCACCTAGGGAGAAGAAGTGGTATCACATACACCGATGATCTAGGGAAGTATCTAGGTATCCACATCATTCATAAGAGAGTGAGTCAGGAACATTATAACTCAGTGATTGAAAATATCCAAAAGAAATTGAGTGGATGGAAAAGAAGAAACCTTTCTTTTGCAGGCAGAAACACTCTTGTGCAAGCTGTTACCTCTACAATCCCTAACTACATTATGCAAACCTCCTGGTTACCCTAGTCCACCTATGAGAAAATTGATAGACTTAATAGAAATTTCCTTTGGGGAGATTCTGAGGAGAGGAAAAAGGTACACTTGATAAATTGGGATACTGTCTGCTCCCTAAGGAGATTGGGGTACTAGGGTTGAGAAAATGTAGAGATAATAACTTAGCTGTCCTATCTAAACTGGGTTGGAATTTACATACTGAGAGTAAGTCCCTTTTGGTGGATGTGGTCAAAGAAAAGTACATGAATCCATCCCTAAAAGATTGGCCACGTAAGCCTAATTCATCCATAATATGGAGAGCCTTGTTGAAAACCAATCAAATTGTGAAGGATAATACAAAATGGCTTATTGGTAATGGTTCAAAAGTTTCTTTGTGGAATGACCGGTGGACAGGTAAAAGTCTACTCCAAAGAAGGATGCAGGTTCCATCTTCAGTTGATCCGAACAGCATAGTGGCTGAGATTATAAGTCCCACAGGTAACTGGAACATTCAGAAAGCTGGTATGTACCTTCCCTCTTCATTTATCTCTGATCTCTTGCACACGCCACTGCCTTTGGAAGGCTCCCATCATGACTCACCATCCTGGGGTCTTACAAGTAATGGAAAATTCTCCATTAAATCAGCCTATAATTGGATTTCTAATCCTATTCCAAGGCAGCATCATGACTTGAACTGGAATTGGATATGGAAACTGAGGATTCCACAGAAACTTAAACATTTTCTATGGTTGGTCCAAAGCGACAGACTCCTTGCAAACTCCCTGAGGTTCACAAGAAACCTCACAAATGATCTCTAGACCGAAAGCTGATTTGGTCTAGAGATCATTTCTAAATAGGAATGATCTCCAACTAGATCAATCAATGGACCTCCAAAGTTGGCTCATTAAAAACTATGATGCTAGAAAGGACACTTATTGGAGAGGTGTGAAATGGCCTATCCTTTTTGCCTCTTTGATATGGAACATTTGGAAAGATAGGAATCAAGAATGTTTGGGAAATACAATCAACCCCCATTTTATCGCTAAGAAAGTTTGGAGACTGGCATGGGATTCATGGAATGCCTTCAATGAACCCCATTCTCAGGCGATTCCTAACCCCCCCCCCAAAACTCATTGGTTGGTCTTTCCCTCGTGCAAGATGGATGAAGATGAATGTGCATGGTAGCTCTAAAGGGAACCCTGGTTCAGCTGCATTTGGAGGACTGCTAAGGAAATGATCAAGGAAGGTGGCAGCTCGGTTTCTATGGGAAGCTAAAGGACTCCAATTGCCTACAAGCTGAACTGTGGGCAATTTATCAAGGCCTCAAGATTATACAAACTCAGAATCTAAAGAAGGTAATCATGGAAACGGACTCCCTGGATGCCCTCAACCTAATCACTGCTAGGTTGGAGGAATTTTATCCTGAAAGGAATATCATTGCAAATTGCAAGCATATAATGGGATTGACTAACACCCCCATTATTCACACACTGAGGGAAGGAAATTTTTGCGATAAAATGGCAAGCTTGGGAGGGCTACAGCAGGATTCTTTCGTATTTTTTGATGTCCCACCACCTGTGTTGGGGCAATTTCTTTTGAACGATCTGTCATGTATCTCTTTTGCTAGAGGGTTTAAATAGCCGTTATCTTTTCCTATGCACCCAAAAAAAAAAGTAGATTAAGCCATAAATTATCCCTATTACTTTGTATACCCTTTTGACTCGAACATATTACATGGTAGACAAAATTATGGCATTCAAGCTCCAACACTGCTCTCCACTACTGATAAAAAAGAGAGAAACGACAAGATCATAACTAATCTAGATAATTTCAAGCTCCCACCTGAAGTCAAGCAGCAGAAGATCTCTTAAGTAGGCACATCGGCATATCACAATTTAATGGGGGCCAGAAAAATAAATCATGTAAATTGAGTGAATACCTATATGCTCTATTTATTATAGCCCACTTCTAACATCAAATGACGATAGCTACGGCCACGTATAACTCGCTGCCAGAGGTACCGCAGTGAGTTCTGAATGCTCATTTGCATCCGCTCCTGGACAAGCCTGCAGCATAAGTAAATGTTAACGCCCTCTAATGCTGCTTAAAGACAATCCAACAATATACAGGTTTCTTACCATCTCACAAGGCATCGCTGAATGCCTCGAGATATGGGACGCATGAAGGATGGATCACGTTGAGCATACAGCAAACCAACCTAGAAAGATTGTAAAAGAGGAAACCATGCATTTAAAATTATCCCACTCTTAACTTATAAAATAAACTGGAAATAATTCTGCCCCTTCCTTGAAAGTTCAGAGAAGCGTTGAAAATATCATAAGTCTATATTTTAGGACATGTTTTCTAGGAACATATTTTTAGCTAACCAAGAAAAATCCAAATATGAAACCAAAAACTGGGATGTAGTGCTGCCAGAGTTCAGCCAAAAGTTTTGTTAGAAGACCAACTTAAACAAAAAAAACCACGCAAATTTGAAAATATAGGAACCAATACAAATATCAAAGCTCAAGACAGATGGAAAACAACGTGGAATAATAAGAAGAAAAAAAAGGGAGTACCTCTAGCAATGCAACAGCGGAAGGATCATCCAGGATCTCAAGGCTGCAATCAGCTAGGTAATTAATCTGCCCCAAGTAGAGTAGGGATAAAATTTACAAATTGGTAGAAAAGACTTAGGTTAAATATGCAGACTTACTCTATGGCATTCCAAAACACTTAAAATCCGGGTCACCAAAACAAACACAAAGCAATCATATGTAAGACTTGCTAGCACACCTAGATGGCAGATGAGAGTCGGTGGTTTTTCACAGGATTAATAGAGTACTAACTTCGGATACAAATTCTTTTTAATTCCTTTTTCTTTCTGCTAAGCAATTCAACTACATATTTGTTATTTTACTGGTGTAGATACCATTAAAAACAGTGATGTCAAGCACATACGTACACATAGCAAACAACGGTTAAGAGTAAAAAACTCAGAAAACAGAAATTACGACAAAACTCAACTGAACAAAAACTTCTCCCAACTCTATGGAGTCTGCTACATGAATCCTATTCCTCAGTTGTGCTCCATCAAGGACCAATATTTATGTTAAATCACAAGCTGTCATATCCTTTTTTAGTATCTCATCAAGTTAATTTCAGTTGACCTCTACCTTCATTATTACCATCAAAAGGTACCTCATCACTCCTCCTCAATAGTGCAATAATAGATAATAGGTCTTCTATAAATATATACAAACCATCTAAGCAGGTTCTCTCATAATTTCTCTCTTATTGGTGTTATTTCTACCGTTTCACAAATATCCTCATTCCTAACTCTTTTCTGGTTTTTCCACATATCCATATCAACATGTTCATCCTTCTCAACAAAGATTGTGGAGGCAGAATCATAATTACTAACCTATGAACAATAATCACTTGATTGAGTACAAACATTGAGCAATTTTTTTTAAAAAAATTTAGCTAGCAAAAGGCCAATACAACATCAGCCTCCACTGAAATAAAATAGAGAACATGAAGAAGAAAGATACCCCAAATTCTGTATTGACAAGAGACTGAACAAAGTCCATTAGTTGAAGCTTAGCCCACTCATAACACAGGGAAGGATTGTCTATGCATGGAGGATGCCTCCAAGGAGCTCCAAAACGTAGTTTATCTTTCAATATTTTTCCCTTTTGCACATCAACGGCAAATTTTTGCAAGAGTGACAATGCTTCATCCATGGCAGGATTAACCACAGTTACCTATAATGGAATGATAAGAACAAGCAGCAAGGGCAAGCAAAGTTCCAAATAAAAGAATACCAACATTATTCTTTTTATAATTTCTAGAAAACAAAGGACAATTCTTTCTTTTTCCTTCTTTTGTGTATGTCTTGTTCGAGTTTTTGATGAGCACAAACAGCCAATTAGTATCACATAAGCATCAAGATTGAGAGTACACAATAATTCACATCATTATTAAGAGAAAATCATTAACTATATAAGAAATAGAATAAAGCATGACCAAAGGCTAGGAAACACGCAGCTCATCCGAATAACACAAATGCAAATATTGGAGTTTAAAGACAAAAACTGAATAAGTTAGTTTTTGAAGTAATATGCTATTGTCCAATACAGAGCATTGGACTCTGCAAGGCACATAACATTTACGAAGGCAATATTGACATGAAATGCTCTATCCAGATTTGTATTAACTATTAAGGGTACAACTTGGCTGGATCAAAATGATTAAATCCATCCAACTGAACCTTCATTCAGTTTCTTTTGGTTAATAGGCATGGCAATTTGGTTTAGATTAGAAAACAAGGAGCTTTCCCAGAACCAACGCGAGTTTCCTCAGTTGGTAGTCTTGTAAAATGCAATATGTATTAACACTACATGCAAATGAGGTTCCATTTTAGCTTCAGAACACTTGCAACTTGGGTCGGAGGAAACTAATCAGCTTTGAGTTATTGCCTAACTTTTTTTTCCTTTCTTTGGTAGGCAGTGGTAAGCGTCAGGGCAGAAAAAGAGGAACGTAGTTCACCAAAGCCCAAGAAGAAGACTGCCCAAGAACTTATCCCTAGAAATCTCAAACAGCTTGGAAGAAAAGCTTTCCAATCACTCTATTTTTTCCTTTTAAGAACGAGATATTTTCTCCAACTACTACTAGCACAAACGATTTGAACTCTTCTTTGTGTGTTACTACCATGTAGACAAACCAAAATAGTGGGGCATGACTTTGTTGAGCTAAGTTGAATTCCCTCACCGTATCTTATATTAGTTAGAGATTAGATTGGAGCGATGTCAAGTAACCATAAGCCTAAGCCTGAGCCTGAGCTATCGCGAGTTCAACTTTGAGAATCTAGGAAATATAGATATGGATAAGTGATACAGATACGATACGATACCGATACGATAATAAGACAAAACTTAAAAAAATTGGATATGAATACTGTTAGGATATGCCTATAATAAAATATATTTTATATTTTACTATTATTTAACGACTTAAAAATTACAACTTTCAATAATTCTTTAACATTAGTAAACAAAATTAGGAATTTTTACTTTGAAAAAGATGCAATATCGTTTCATTATAATATATCCATAAAATGAGCGTTACCAATTAAAGGAATCATAACCAAATTTAACTAGTTAGTTTGTTTACAAGTATTTGTTTTTAAGATTATAGTGTAACTAACTCATTTTTTTTTATATACTTTTGACATGTAATAGTAGATAATACTTAAAAATACTCATGTTATCAAAAATCAGATAGAATTTTGGTGTATTGTATGTGAACTCGAAAGGAGAGACTATAGATTAAAATTAAAAATTATACATTTTGCTCCATGTTTAGAAGTATTCAGCTACATTCTATTTCTACTTTTGGATTTCCTTGAGAAAAGCATAAGTTTTTTCCTTCTTTTTCGGCATACGTATCCTTAAATATTCGATGAGTGTCGTATTCGATACGGGTACGTTGACCATGACAAAGTATCCTTTCTTCATAGTCCTACTCTGAACTAGAGGTAAGAGGTTATATCTCGCAAAGATACCTCTATAGGCATGAATCTTGTGCACGGGGCATGACTCTTTCTATATAAGAATTTAAAGCAACCCGAAACACTTGAGTTATGTTTGAGCTTGTGTCACATCGAAAGAATAATACCTCCTAAACTAGTATATGAGCCTTAAGGGTCTCCCTACCCATTACCAACTGATTTTAATTGGAAGTTTTAATACGATATCAAAGTTTTGCTTGGGGAAGAGGGTTTGAACAAAACTCAATTTTCCCAGTTTGGTAACTGACATCTCCTTTTGACTATGTCATACGTGCGTTTTTATGTTTTTAAATTTAAATTTTTATTTCATTTTTTTTCTATTAATCTCTTTGCATGCGAGGGAGGGATTGCATTTGTGGGGAAGTGTTCAAATTTTTCACTCATTCATATTTAATCAGTCTTCTAATCCTCATGTTTTTGTTATGCTTTAACCAGGTACACCATGGTCTTTCGTTTACTACCTTGATCTAACAAACACGTCTGTTGAATATTAGGTTAAACAAGTTCTCAAGAGATATCTTTTGACTAAAATCCGGTGTTAACTCTATGATTAAGAACCTCAAGACAACAAGATGGAAACTGGAATAAGAAGAGAATAGTCAATAAGCCAAGCCAGTCAACTTACAAAAATCCTTTTTCGTTATCTAGCAACGTATGTCTTTATTAATTTCAAGGTGAGGGGTTTTTCATTTTCTTTTAAACCTAAGAAGAAGAGAATCTTGTATCAAGAAGAAAAAGTATTTAATGGGAAAAAAGCTTATGCAATAAAAAACTCAAGTGGGAAAAAATGTCTGAGTGAGCCTTGTATACAACCTATGCATTACTATGTCCTATAACATTACAATGAATATACTACAAACTTCAAAATGTATATGACCATTCCTACTTATTATGAAACTTACTTGCAAATAAGCCAAATACGCATCTACAATGTCCTCAAATGTACTACCATTGTCATCCATTAACCTACAAAAAAACAAAGAAAAAGGGCAACTTAACTGTAAAACATGTAAGAAATGACTTAAACCAAAACTGCAATATTTAGGCAGAAAAGTTCACACGCTACTATAAGGTTAAATTTATAGTATAAGTAATGATTCAAGTTATGTGAACATTCTTAGTAACCCACCATGATGTCATTAGGCAATAAACACAGTGAAATGTGTAGCAGTTGCCTACAATGTTTATAGCATGCTTACTTAGTTACTCTCTCAAGAGTTGATACATCAGGAACAAAAATATGAATACAAGTAAATTGTTGGGGTACCATACATTAATTTGCCTAGATAATCTTCCCCTTTGTGTAAAGACATTTAGGGGCTAAGAGTATAGTTCCCGAAGTCACGATAAACTGGTTTTTTTCGTAGTCTTTGGTGAAAAAGAACCAAAAGGACACCCAAGGAGGGTTTCTGCCCCATTACAAAATGGAAGACCATTTTATTTTCCTCTTATTTATTTTTCTTAGGAAGGAATGGAGTAAGAGATGCCATTTTCTATAGCTTCTTACTCGGTCCTACATTCCTGATTTTAAAAAGGAGGGCCGACTGCTCCTACTTTTCCTAACCCCAAGTTGTCCCAAAAAAAAAAAAAAAAATCAATTCCCAACAGCTTTTGCTAAGACCATACTTTTCCCAACCTTTTACAAATCCCTAATTCTCCGGGATGGAGCCACCTTCTTCCTTTTCATCAAAATTACGAGAATCCATCTATAAGAGTCCAGAGAGAAACTACATCATAAAAGAAGATCAATCCTGACACTTGCTCACCTATATTTTCCCAGGACAACCATAACATATTGAATAAGATTGAGTACCATAATAAGGTCCTCAAAAAAATTGAAAACAATTTTAAAATGTTCTCTCCCTTCCCCACCCCAAAAAACAGCCGGGGGAAAAAAAAAAAAAAACCCTGCACCGTGTTTCTCTTCTCTTGCTCACAAAGAAGACAAGGATTATCCATTCAAGTTAACAATAAAAATCTCTCACTTGGAGAAAATTATTAAAAATATGTACAACTTAATAAAATTCATTCCTTGCTAGGATTACAAATGTGATCGCCCCCAACATGCCGAAACAAACGTATTTAACCTAGAGGGGGATGAATAGGTCTTAAACTCAATGAGGAAATTATGCCCAATTAAAACCTAATTCTACTAATTATCTATTACTCCAAAACACAAAAATCCCTAAATTAATAAACTCAATTCAAGAATTTTAATGTTTAAGCAAAATCACCAAATTCCAAACAACCTTAAGTTCAATTGCTTCTGTTCACTTCTAACGGCCATTAACACAAATTGATTTTCAAGATATCAATCAATTATGCATGTGAGAAAGGTAAAATTGCAAGTATGCAAAGCACGCAAGAGACAAGAAAAACACACAACACAAGCAATTTTTACGTGTAAGCCCTATTGAGAAAAACCACAGGACCATAATCCACTTGCCTCAAACAAAGTTTATAGGCCCTAAAATCTTTTATCTTAACTAATACCATGGTTAGACGTTTTCTCGTCCACCGCAAGCTTTAAACGACTTGTTTCAATAGGTAATGAATTGAACTCCACAATTCGCCCTTTGAATCCTCCTCCTTCTCCTCTTAGAATCACTCTTTGATCCTTGAGATGTTCCTTGGATCCTTGCTTTATGGGTTTAGAGTGATCTACTAGATCTCTCAAACTCTAGATTAATCAAGTAAAAAATGTGGTTTGTTATGGGGTGCTAGGTAAGGTCTTTCAAATTCTTTCTAGCCTTTCTTAAACCCTAGTGTCTTTCATAAGTCTAGAAAAGACGTTCCCTATTTATAGGTCAAGAAAAATATACTTTAATTAGTGAGCAAGAAAGCTGATCCGAGAACCAGTGAGTGCCAGGGGACGGTATTCTTCCAAGCCGTGAACAATGGATCGCTCAGCACCCACAACTGTTTTAGTTTTTTTATGCTCAGTATATTTTCCACAGCCGCAAGAGTTCTTGGAGAGCGTTGCCCACTGGTTTTTCAACCTAAATCAATGATCACATCGACTCTTTATGTATCAAGAGATGATACCTACAAAACCTCCATACCACGACTCTTATACTTGTTTCAAAAACAACCCTCAAAGTTTCAAAAATATTTTTCATATTTGTACAAGAGTTATGCTACTTATCATCAATACTAAAATATCTAAATCTGGTTTATTCACCTAAGTTTAACCATTCTAAGGCAACTAGGTATCTACTTATTTTATCTCACCTAAGCTCGATAGATTCCAAGAAGTCTTCCCATGTGTTGCAATGTAGCTTGAGCTTCTTCATCACATCTTCCTTTGGTCTTCAATCTTCATGAATATCTTGACCATGGTTGAGACACATGTACAAAGTGACCTCACCGAATATTTCTATTACAATCAATTTCCTAATAATTTTTTAAAGCAAATAGCAAAAATATAAAGAAATCACCCATCATATTGCTGAGAATGTTCGCTCTTCGTCTACTGCTGTCGAAGAATGATATTAGATTCTTTTTTGTTTCTGTTGGTGGAGTACTATACCTATACCTCAATAACTTATGTCTGGGATGCCTGCAATGTGCTCAGACAAAAAAATAAATAGAGAAAATGATCCTTTGAATTGACACATCAATCATAGCCCAAGTTTGGTAAGCCACCAACAAAGATTTCATATGCCACTTGAAATTCAAGAATATTACAAGTTTTTTCTCAGACCACTACAATTTTAAACAAACCAAACATCAGATATTTCCATGTTTCTAAAAGTTAATCCTTCAGCTAGGGAGTTCGACCTCTCAGGGTGGCGACCCCTTATCACGACTTAGAATTAATCAGGCATCAATGACGAAATATCCAGGTAAGCCCTAACACCTATACCATCCAAATAAGAATGCATTTGCTTGTTTTAGCGTCAAGAGGATAAAAAAATCTCTAAAATGTTGACTAACACCAAGTTTTTGCTTTTATCTTTCTTCTTATTTAGTTTTTGGAGGGGGAGGGCATTAACGCAAGGTATCCCAACCCCTTTTGAGGCAAGACTAACCTCCTGGACTCAAATAAATTAAAACATCAGAAAGGTTGAATTATAAAGATCAATTGACATAAACATAAAACTTATTTGTAGATCACTCTAAATTATTGGTCATTTGATAGCTTAGCAAATAGAACAATTTCAAAAACAAGTCAGTGCACATGCCAGATTGGACCATTACATACAAGCTAGTGAGATGTCAAATTGAGCATCTAGTCATACTTACTTCTGGTAATAATTGCTTTGTTTAAGCGCAAAAAGCTCAAAAAGATGTCGTGGATTTGGCCCTAGCACCTCAACGATCACATTCCACTACAATTGCAACAGAGATGTTGAATTACTCGCCCAAATCAAAGTTTTACTCATACATGTAAATAATAAAAGTTATGCATAGGGAAACGCATGAGTAATTCTTCTATAATATGAGCTCACCTCGGAGTGACTGAAATAATCAGCGACCATATGCATTTTGGCTTCTTGTGGAGTCCATCCAAAGGTCTGAAAGTTGTGAAGAATGACACATTCCAAACTCAAAATATAACACATCACAGAAAACACCATTAAGTCATGAAAACAGAGTCACTCAGACTCACATTATGAACTAGATACGAAAGAACGAATAACTTATCAAGTGAAGCATGTACATTTACATTCATGCAAAAACCTGTCACACATGCATCCACACAAACACATGCAAAAATCTGTTAGTCTCACAGTATTGAGTCTAGCCAAGACAGTGACCCGCCGACACCCCTTACACACCAATCAGCGAACTGTACAGCAGCTGACTAAGGTCACCACCCTCTACTTCGATGGTATTCTCCAAATAGAAATACCCATTCCTACTATCTTAACTGCAAGTTAGGACAGGAGGGGGTAGAGAGCTATACCTTCAAGACATCAAGACAGAAAGAAGCCACGCAACATGTATGCACCCCATTGCAGTTAGGACAGGAGAGGGTAGAGTGCTATACCGACATCACACTCAAAAAAAGAAAGAAGCCACACAACATTTATGCACCCCACATACACACAAAAACAGAAGTACAGACACAATCAGCAAAGAGAAAGAGCAGTAATTACAAGACATCAGAACCAAAAAAGAAAGAAACCACACAAAATGCATGCACACGAGATACATACACCAAGAAAGAAGTACAGACACAAGCAGCAAAGAGAAAGAGAGAATCAAATAATTTCATCCAGGTTACCTCACGGGATATGAAAATGTCTGGGAATCCAAAATCCAGAAAAGCTCGGTATGAATAATAGCTGCAGATAGTAGTTAGTTTCAAACTTCCAAAGACAGAAATAACTAAAAAAGGATAAGAGTATTGTTCAAAAAAAAAAACAGTGAAACTACAATAAACGGGAATTTCAGAAATTTATGTATAATATGGTTATGAAGCTTCACAAAAATCAAATTGGCACGCTGGATGCTGCCAACAGGCAGTTGACTAAAATATGCTAGAGAAGCAAAGAAAATTGAGTACAATTTTGCCAGTTCTGATTTATTCTGGATTTTACAGCATGCGACCCATCAAATCAGAACAATGGGAATGCCAAGTTGATGCTCCAGATATTGTTTAAAGAAAATAACGACAAAGGGAGTACAACAGAATAATCAAGATTAGAGGCCCAGATGGCTCACAGCCAATGAAAAGGCCAAAATTAGGCTCCTAACAAGATTCTAAAGCTACTAAGAAAAAAAAATGATAGGAGAGATATCACAGCTTCAAGGATATCCGGCTTGTCAACAATGTGGTTGTTGAATCCTGGTACAACCTGAGCTTCTTTTTTTTTTCCCAAATGGTACAACCAGAAACACTGGTAGATGAATGGTCTGAAGGTTTCGTGGGCTCATACGAATTTAGAAGGGTCATGATTATTTAAACAATACCACAAAGACAAAAATCCAAAAGGCTCGGTCATTAGGGAACATAATACTGTTGCATGTTAGAGTGGTTCATACGTGAAACAGTTGGCACCAGTTATATATCTTGTGGTTTACCATCTCCTAATATCGGCTTTACTGCTTTCCAATTGAGGACAGTTTTTTCTGATCAGTGAAGCCACAATTGATCAGTAATGAACTGCTTTTCAACAATATTCGAGTTCCCTTGTTCACTTAAAATGGTTTTTCTCTCTTATTCTTTTCTTGGTTCTAAAATGTTAGTGTCATGTTCATGTGACTAAAGCTACCTCAGGGAGACAAGTATCAAAGCATACAGGCTTTCAAATAGCATCAATAAATTCATAATTACAGGATCAACATCGAGCCCTAATTTGGATTAGCATTGAGATAAAGCAAAAACCAGGCACCAATATACCATTATTACAATGAGTTATTTACAAAATTGGTCACTAAGCAAATTTGCATGTCAAAGTGAACACGTGACTATGCCATAGAAGAGAAGTGACCTGCAACCTAACCTGGATTTTATGTATACCTTCTTGATGTATCATTTTTGCATTTCACTTCTTGGAAGAGATGTCAAACTGTGCAGTTATAGTCGATGAAACAGACATGATTATTCAATTAGTTGTTCCTTAAAGAAACTGAACATATGGGACCTTTTCAACACAAGAACAACTCCGTTTTTCATAGGTATTTTGTGAGATCAGCACCAAACTCAACCAAACCAATCATTTACCCCTAAACTAGTCTATGGCACATTAGAAATCATCACGTATATGACTACATAACCTAATAGGATCACCTAGGTCTTAGTTTAGGACAGTTAGTATGAAGAAGGAACATCCAGATGACTCTCTAATCATCAGTATTATCAATTACTAATTGCAAAAAGGAACTATCCATTATCCAACCTTTAG